AGTGTTTTGTTGGTTATTATTGGTGGTTGCCTGTTTTATATTGCGGTAAAAGAGCTTTTCGTTTCGGTTGAATTGAATATTCTGCTGTTTTCGCAAAGAGCAGGCTCTATATCTTTCGAGTCGTGCTTTTGCTACAGATAATTTTTGTTTCAGTGTATCGAGAGTGTGTATGGGTTGTGTGTTTGGTTCTTCGTGTATAGTGTGAATTTTATAGTGTGTTATGATTTTATTTACTCGTTTTCTCAATTTTCTACTTCTATTACCATTTATGAATTGTATTACCCTACCTATTTTCTTTCGTAATTCTTTAATTTTTTGCTCTAACCGTCGTTGCCATTTTGGTGTGTATTCTGTTTTCGGAGTACGAAATATTTGTTGTGGTTCAAGATTTATCCTTGCTCCGTTTAATTTAGCAGCGGTCCACGCCGCACAATAAATAATAGTTTGGAATGTGTCGAAATCAGTGTTGTTATTAATATTTTCTGAAAGAATGAACTGGTTTAGGTAGCTAATTACTCTTGCCAAATTTCTTGATGATTTTTGTTTTGGGATAAAGCTTCTGTTAGTGGGACTAGTGTTTTTAAAGTGCTCAAAAGCTCGTTGAAAGGTTTCGTCTATAAGTGTGTCTCGTACAGTTAGGTTTATTTGAGGGTTAGGTAGTGTCTCTACTGTGTTCAGTGTGGTATTGTCCAATGTTTGTATATTCGGTGTAGACTCGACATTAAGGTAGGTATCGCTGTAGTTTGTTAATTGTGTGTTGGGACTATTCGTACTTATAATGTCTGTGAACATATCTGTGTTGTTGTGTGGATTGGGTTTGAGTGATAGTTCTTCAGCTACTTGAGCCTTTAATAAGTTTAAATTATCGCTACTGATGTATTTATTATTAATAATTGCTCTTCTTTGATCTGCTACCCTCTGTTCAGTTAAGTGGGCAAGGGATGGGAAATTAATAATGAAATCATCGTACATCCGTTTTCTGTACATTGTTTCATTTCTGCCTAAATCTGTAACTCTATAATAAGACCGCATTATACCTTCGTTGTGTTCGTTTGTCCATCTCATTCGAGACTGTGTTTTACTTTGTGATATATTTATTTCTGTAGTTCTAGGGTGTGTTTGTAATTGTGTGCGTGTTTGATGTGTATGATCGATAGTATTCTCTGTTTGTATGTTATTGTGATTTAGTTGTAGTTGGTCTAACTCTCTTTCTACTTCGTTTCGTATGGTGTCTATTGTTTTTTGTGGTAGAAGCTTGTTATTTATGATTGCTCTGCGTTGATCTCCTACTCTCTGTCGGCTAACCTGCATGTCTGGGAATTGTTCTATAAATTTTAAGTGAAGTGGTTCGAGATAGGTTCGTTTGTCTGTGTCTAATAAAGTTAACTGAAAATAAGTGCGCAGAATGAACATATTCATTTCAGGTGTCCATCGCCTGCGCTTGTTTGGGTCACTTGTGGCGGGTGCAAGCTCATTGTCAAAGTTGACATCTCGCACAACGCTGTCAAGTGTACTTGTGGTTGACAAGGTAGACTTACTTCTAGTCATGTATGAGGGGCGAGTTGATGGGATGGATGAAAATAAAGAAATGGTATCATCACTCGTGGAATCGGCAGTAGCTTCTTCGCTGTAAGCCCGCCTGGTCAACTCACAACGACCAGCTGTAACCTGTTTTTTGGTGGGAGCCCGCTTGCTCAACTCCACACCACCGATGGTTCGCATGCTGTGGCATCCAGCACCGGCTCCAGATGCGCCCCGGCGACCCCCGGGAAGCGGCCGCAAATTATATTCTCTTTTACTCATCTCTCCATGTTGGGTTACCCTTGCCTTGTTAGCCGCGTAAGTTTTTATTCCTGTACAGTTGTACAGTACGCGTGTCCGCCCCCCACGTAAGCTAGGTGTTCAGCTTGGACGTAAGGTTGGAATTGAGGGGGCTTATTATTATTATTATTAGTCTCTGCCTACCCCTGTGGGAGACAGGCGTGAACTTATTTATTTATTTGATTATTCATGTGCAGAGAGTTACATGAGTATATTAAAATGATCGGCATATTTCTTTCGGCTTTGGTTAGAACGGAAAAGAAAACCAACCTTGGATATAATGTCAATCATGGCTACATTTGGAAATAAGTCGTCAAAGGCTGCAACTAATGCATGTAAGACATTTAGCACTCCATCCGATGTTCCTTCTTCACCTGAAAATAATTGCACGATAAGTAACAGGTTTATTACTAAAATATAAATACAATATACCTCTTATTCCTATGAGATGAAGTCAATTTCTATTTACATAACATTTTTAAGTACCGTCGCGTTTGTCTGACTGATATCTGACAAAATCTAATTGCATTAATATGATATTATTCACACAAATGCAGTAAATGCATCGATAATATAATATTGAGACAGACTGACCTAAGTATTTTAAGAAGAACCAATGATAATATTAGAAAATTACCATATGAACATAAAGTATATCCTCCGCAACTACATAAATGATTTTATGAGTGAAACGTCGGAAGAATTACAATTACCTGGTTACTCATCCAGATGTTCAGTTTTCCTTATTAAATTTCTATTTATTTTTTAATTTAAGCAGGCACATTGTGTGACTATTAATTAAAGAATTCAAGGCAAAAATAATTATCTCTTAATTAAAGGAAAATCGGCAGTAATCATAATCGTTATTTATATAATTACAGCTATTTTGTCGAGTGTTGTCCGAGCATTAGCATACAATGCTAGTTATAAATCTTCCAAGAACGTACTTGTGTTTGGCTCTTCAAGATTGTTGAATGTTGATTGGGACGACTTTTTGTAGAGTCATACTTTGTACATACATATATTAAGATATGTTTGCCAACTTAATATTCGGGTTTAAAGTTTTGAAAATCTGTATGCATGCAGGTTAAATTCTATTAGGTCTGCTTAGACTTCTAAATAGTTAAGCAATTTCTATTGAATTTTCTTATCACGACTACACTGCTTTCATTTCGCTTTCGTCTAAACTAACATTGTATTCGACATACACTGGTGGATACGGATTCTAGAATCTAGCTAGACGATAGTATTCATCTTAATTTTACAGAAAAAAAAGATCGTCGTCTACAATTGCAAACTGCGCAAATAATGTTGGCAATTAAAACATCCGCCTTAGATTAATCTGTTACGTTTCCTTTGTAAAAACATTTCTTAATCTAACACACTCGACTGGGCTATTAATCGATTGAATGCGTCAGTAATTCAGCGGTAACTGTCTCCGCCTACGTGTCATTTACTAACAATCGCCTTAGTAATTCAGCCAAATACTCGTCTAAAGGCGACAGCTGTGGGGCTTGTGTTATGCAAAAGTATTAAAGCTAATGCGCGCAATATATATACCTATAGAATTATTACGTGGAGGGTATGATTAAGAAAACTATTATTTCATAGACATTATTACTCTAATAATAGAATTAAATATTTTTAGCATTCTATGAACTCTGTAGAATTCTACAAATGTACGAATTCGTAAAGATTTCTTCAAACTTACCTATAAGTATGGACACAGGCTTGTGTTCATGGATGAGTGTTATAGACAGATGATTGGCCTTTTTACTCTCGAGCGCTTCTATTTCCATCAAGTGAAATCCATTGTCGACCTGACATTATTAACAGAGGTTATTCCATTGGCCATGCAAATTAATGTTTCCTGTAAGGCTTGGCCTGTACCAGCTATACTTGAAAGTCTATGCACAATGTATTACTGTGTCCTTCATGCTATACTAAATGTGTAGTTGATTTAAAAGTATGAGCCATTAAATCAATTTTAAATGTAGATGATAACTAAATCATTGTCTATTAGATGCATATTATATTACTATATTAAAAAAGTAAGAATAAGCAAGGAATGGAATGTGTTTGTTATAAAAAAACTGCTTTTTCTTCTCTGTAGGTACCTATGAGAATTACTGACAATACTGATAATAATATATTCATCACAGAGATATTCGATTTTCTTTTAGACTTGAACAAGTATAATTGAATAGCTATTGTACAAAAAAAATTTAAATTTTAAACAACAGACTTTTTTCTGTTCACTATTCTATTACTCACCCTTGTCGGAACCTTAGCTGTTGTTATGAAAATTCTGTAAGCTGTTACAACCTGAAATATAGTTTGTGTGTTAATAAACTTAGTTATGTAATACTAGCTTTTACCCGCGGCTTCGCTCGCGTCACAAAAGGAAAAAAGTAGCCTATGTGACATATTCAGATACACACAGCGCCATCTATACCAATGATTTGGTTTTCCCTCGAGAATATACAATTTTTCCGGGATAAAAAGTACTCTATTATTTAATTCAGACTTCTAACTTTACGTCTGCAAAAATGCAAAGTAATCGGTTTAGTAGTTATGGCGTGAAAGCGGAACAAACAAACAAACAAACTCACTTTCCGATTTATAATATTAGTAAGGATTTAATTTAGCTCATTAAAATGACAAATTCAGTTATTAAACTGGGTAACACAATTCATATATTTTTATTATTATTATTATGAAATAAACAAAAATATTGAAGATTCTAGAGCCGACAGACATAGTTACTACAGTTTCTTTGGGGATTCTATACACTGTCACAATGTTCCTACATAATTTAGGAAATTACCTACTTTTCTGTTCAGTTACATTATAAATTGGTCTAAGCGGTCTTGCATTAGTTATCAATAAACTAAATTATGTTTCCTTATTCATCAGCATCAGCATCAGCATTATGCATCAGCTTGTATCTGTCTCTAGGGTCAGCAAATACCTCTTTCACACAGGGAAGAAATGGGCATTTATAAAAAAACCAAAATAACTTAAAATAAGTTTCCAATAAACAAATTTCTGTTTAGCAAATTCATTTCATTCAATCCATGTTTTAGAACAAGACAATCTAGGATTATATTTAGCTTTAGTAGAATTTGTGTCAATGAAAATAATAAAGCCAATGAATGGATAAATTGGTTTAGTCATTGTGTTTAAAGTTGACCACATGTTTTATTGTGATTGTGTTTGTGTGGAAAGGGAGCACAGACACACACAACTGTCTGAATTAGACATAGGCACACCTACATGATTCATTCTATTGTCAATGCTTATCTATATCAACAAAAACTGTTCTATGATGCAAATGACAAACATGTTATGAGATCAGTGTTTTCATTTTGTTCCTTTCATTAAATAAATACTAAGACAGTCATTTTATAAATAAACTAAATCTTAACTTTTTTAAGTTAATCTATTACACTTCCAACTATTCCCAATAAAATGTTTTACTATAGCTAAAAAAGATAATAATCAGTGGCAGTCAAAAATAGATTAGACAATACTGATAAGTACCTAGTATCTTTTCTTGAAATAAGACAGTAAAAAATTATTAGCATGTGTAAAATTAGACTCGAAAACCATAATTAGAAATAATTTTACACAAAGATAATATTTTAATACTTATCACAATAATTAAAATACATTTATTTATCGTGATCGTAATTTAATTAATAAAACTATTAGTGAATAAATTACGTATATAGGTATTAAATTATGAAATGCTTACCAAAACTTTGTTGTCCACTTTATCACCTCTTGATTCCATTCGTATAAGGGTTTTGTATAGAATTTTAACATTTTTACCCAAAACATTGCTTATCGTTTCTGTAAGAAATAAAATAAAAGAAAAATCGGACGATCCAGTTAGACATTAAAATCTCAAAAAAAAACATTAAGAGCTGGATAAAAAGACTTACATATTTTTTACAATTTATGAAGAGAAATAGTTATTATTAAATAAATAAATACGTACCACTCAATTCAGTAGAAATATGAGATTTTGTTGACATTTTCGCGATTTTCTTCAGTGTCATTACTCCCACAAAATATAAATATTTTCAAAGCACAATACATCCATAATAGGCACAACACATGAACAAAATATTGTTGCTGTTATGATAAGACACAAGAACACTGCATTTCAATAATTTATTAAATAGATATTAAGATTATTGACCTAAAAACCACCACAACACCATTTCATTGGGAAGGTAGGGTAACGAACCACAGATTACAACTTATAGCAATAGTGCTGTCCAAAGTACAAAATTTGCAAGTAGAGGAGATTTTGTCTACATGACTACAAAACTTACTAAATGCAAATACGTTTTTATATACATTGAACTATTATATGTGGCTAAATGAGTAAAATATCGACAATGACTGATTTAACAACGTATTCGATATTTCTTCGTTGTGTTAGTTCGTTCAATAACAATCGATAAAATTATATTGCATTATTGATTAGCACGGGCCTATGGCCAAGTTATCATCTGCCATTGCTGTCAAAATACATAATTTGTCAATGTCACGTTTGATGTTTGTAACTTTGTTCGAAGAATCCTATTTTTGTATATTTGGAATTTTATATATTATTATTGGGACTTAAATCTTTGCATCAACAATGAACAAAAACTACGAAAGATGTACTCATTGTAATCGCCGTAAATGGCTTGCTTCAGGTTGCCTACGAAAGTGGTTAAAACCACTGGAATGTAAACATTTACAGCGAACTGTTGACAACAAAAGAGATTTTAATAATACAGATGGTGTTTTTATACCAGAGCGTATGCCTTCAATGAACACAAATAAATTTGTAAAGTTTTGGAAAAATAAGTTGTTTATAACTGGCAATGTTAGATCACTACAGAGATACTTCGGCAACAAAAACAGTGGTGGAGAACATCTATGCAGTCTTAGCAAATGTAGCGGTGAACCATCAACTTCGTCCGACAAGAGGGTTACTGCTGCAACGGGACACGAGTCCAAAAAAGATTTCCCACTAAACAGACAAGCAGTAAAATGTCAACATTCAGATGGTCACTCAGTACTTCGTGGACATCACCAACATGTCTCACTTGAAACTTGCGCAATTTACTGCCAATTGTCAAAGTAAGCCCTATGATTATTACTAGATTTTGCTTTAATTTGACACTAGTCTAAAATACTATGAGACAACTAATTTTATGTAAGAATTAGGTAGACTATATTATTTAAACATAATCTTTACAGACATGGATGGTACTGGGGAGGTATCACCTCAAGTGAGGCAGAGGAACTGCTTGCAGGGCAACATGACAATGTCTTCTTAGTGCGAGACTCATGTGACTCTCGACACATTCTCTGTGTATCTTTCCGCTGTGTGGGCCGCACACTGCATGCTCGACTCAGACATGCCAATGGTCTTTTCTCTCTGAACAATGAAACATTTGTACCAGCTAACAGAATATCAGAACATTGTGCTGCTGTTGATGTGAAATCAAACCTTTTCGAAATGCCTGTTAAATTAGCAAGGCCACTAAATAGGTAAATATTTTTAAGTTTTCAATTATGCCCAAAGAAACTTAGTACTTTTTGTAATAAAGTAAATGTTATAATAAATTTTGAATCATATTTTTACAGATTTGCCAAGCTGGACTCTTTACAAATGATCTGTAGATTTGTCATAAGACAAACTGTATCAGCAACAGTATGGAGCAAGTTGCCACTACCACCAAACTTAATATCTTATGTTACTATTGGAAGTGACTATATTGTACCATCATAGCCAATACATGCCTTTAGTACTCATAGATCTATGTACCTATAGTTTAAGTATATACACATATGACTTTCATAAGAGACTGCTTATATAGCTATATGAATAATGAATTATTAATTGTAAATTTTATACTAAAGTCAATATTTTATTAGGAAATAATGAAAATAAAATTACTTATAGCAACCATTTGAAATTTAAACTATTTATTATAATAACCAAGTAAATGTCAGTAATACTTTGTATGTTATTTTGTCTCATAAACCTTTGTTGTGTGGATTTTTATATAACCATCACCTATTTTGCCTATTATAAATCTTCATATTACTTCAGTGTATTAATTCCGAGCATATTCTTGGCCTGAAATAAAAAAGGCATGGTTTAATACAGTAACAAAGTCACAGTTTATTAGAAGACAAAGCAAAAATAAAAAACTTTATGCGAGACTCGTTAATTAATATCAATCAGTGGTAATAAATGTAGTTCTTGTGCCAGACATAAATAAAAGCCCTGAGATGAGCTCATTCGAACTTTACTCAACGTGGATTTTCAGTGGTATCACTCGCGAGGATGTAGTGTCTAACAATCGCGCTTGTAAATTAAAACAAACTATATTGATAAGATGAAAATTATTAGGTACATCAATTTCCTACCGTTGTGAAAGCAGCAGTTAGTGTCTGTGGCGCTGCAGCTACTGGACTCAAATTTAATGCCGTTTGTATTAGTTGGGCGTCACGTATACGTGAAGCAATAAAATTCCTAGTAGCATTACAGTCTTGGCTGCTATCGGTCAGATAAAACAACTCTGCTGCCTTATATATTCCCGCCACTCCCACTCTGCGCATATACCAGTTAAACTGAAAATCGTAATTATTTTTAATTCATTAGTTTATTATTTTGTTCACCGTAAGTCAATAATAAAGGTCTATAGTTTTGGGAAGATTATAAAAAACACAAAGGTAAGTCTTACTCACATCTACACTTCTGTCCCCAGAATGATAGCAAATATCATCAACAAGTGATAATAATGTTGCCAAACAGTTGGGCACATTGTTTGGTAGAGTTTGAATTGCCATTGCTTTTGGCCATGTGCTCCTAAAAAGAAAATAAAATTGTTTACATTAGGAAATGTAATTATAAAAAATGCGTAGTATGTGGGTAGGTAGAGCATTTTAGTAAAGGAGCAAATCCTCGACATTTTTTTTTGTATTCTTTAGTGATAAAATCACTAATTCCACTCACTTGTATGGATCTATCATCAATAATCTTTGGTAAATGGCATTTTCAACGAATTTGGCTGGTACTTTTTCTTGCGTGTCTACCTTGGGCCACTGTAAAAAAAAAATAGTAGGTAAATGCAAATACATATTACAAAAAATAATATATATTTTTACAGCTAGGTACTTACAGTTTTCATAGCATCCACTAATCGTTCATTACATCTAACATTGAAATAGTGTACCAAATCCGCACCTCCATTAGGAAATAAGCCATGAGTTATAGTAGGATAGCCTGCTGCTTTAGCGCCGGCGCTCAATGATTCTACAGACCATCCATTTTTTGGTACAAACTGTAAGGCATTTTCCAAAATGTTCTTTTTTATGTTTTCTTCATATTGATGATCTTCTTGCTCGTGTTCACTAGAAGTTGTGTAGGTAGCAGGAATAGTAAGTTTTGTATCCTTTTCAGGATTAATTTGAATTTGAGAACTTATTCCTTGTGAACGTTTGATAGCAATAGAGGCGAATGGCCGAAGGGTTCTATGGCCATTCTTCAAGGCTGTTAACAAAATAAATATATAACTGAAAAGTGAGTAGGATACCTAATGCCAATGTTGAGGACCTCAGAACAAAATAAACAAATCAGTTATTTAAGTGAGAGTAAAGTGATTTATTATAAAACAAAGCTTAGCTTTTTTATATTTATTCACAGTTCATTTGTAATGCCTGCATTTTGTTTATATTTATACATTCACATAAGCGCCCTATCAGACCTTCCATTAGATGAAAAGCATTCAAAGCAGAATTTATTATTTCTTTTGCATTTTCTTCAGGTATCTTGTCCAATACATTTCCACCTACATTAACAGATACATTAACCTTATTTTCAAGTAGATTTTTCCCTTCTTTAATATCCTTAAGTTTAACCTCATAATGAGCTTTAGACATATTCAACCCAACTCTTAGTTGTTCTAAATAACTATTCTCAATAAATGAAAAGCAGTTCCGGACACCTGTTACATTTTTTGTATCTTTAATAGCCAAATATCTAAGAAAATTTAAAGAAGTTATAATTTGATCAGCAAGTTCAACAAGATCTGACTCAGCACCATGAGGGAGATGGCATATTTTCTTTAACATGTTTGAAAATTGATGACCAGTGAAACAATCATCCATCTCAGGATCCTGAAATGCTTCATTTAATGAGCTTTTATATAAAGTTATTGCATAGCCAATCATGCCTGAATGATTTGATGTTTTAATCAAATATTTAATAAGTGTACATCTTCCTTTATAATCAAACTTATTAATTTGTTGTCCAATCAAGGCTACAGATTTCTTACGAATAGATTCATAACTAGAGTATATAGCTATAGTATATAATCCTTTGCACATACGAAAATGCACAGATGACGATAGAAGTTCATGTGACATTTTATTGGGGAAGCGTTTAACTATTGCCTCAGATAAAGCAAGTGCTTTGGACAACAGGCCATATTCTGAAAAATTCAGTAAGTGAATAACAGAAAGCATTGCTGTCTGGAGAACATATTCTAAGCTATAAACTTGTGGTATTGCAGTTTCTGGTATTAGAAAGTGTCCTGATAGAACAACATAGAACAAGCCAGATAATGTGGTCATGTTGATCTTGTCTTCATATTTGTAGGGCAACTTCTCTTCTTCTATATCATAATCCTTTGCAGGTTTCTTGTTTGAGTCCCTATCGCAACCTTCCAAGTATACTAAGAACTTCATAATGTTTTTCTCAAGACGACAAATGTCTCGTACAATAGTTGAACAGTTTAGTCTGGCTTCACTGCTTCCATTTGTTTCTGGATCCATATCAATGTAAATCAAAGGTTTTCCAAGAAGACTTATCAGAAAAGCTGCTATTATTTCTTTTGTTTTCACATTATAGAAATCAGCTTGATTGACCTCATCAATGAAATATTTGTAGAATGGGGGTAAAAGGCTGTATACCCTCACAATCCTCCTGATGTTAGGGTCAGAATCCATCAACAATCTCTCCTCGCCTTCCAAGTGGTGTTCAGGCACTGGAATATCTTCAATATAGGAGCTAATAGAATTAAAACACCATTCCAAAGATCTTCCTCTCTTAAAAGCCAATTTTTTCAAAATTTGTTGTAGTGGCAGTAAAATGATCCCAAACTGTGCATCATTCTTAGCAAGTTCTAATTGTTCTATAAACTCCAGCAGAGCTTCTTCTGGAGCACATTCCTCAATTATTATTGATAATAATTGTTCACATGTGCCATATAGTGATGGTTTTATGGTAACAGTATCATCTTTTATTTTACCCACAATTGCAGATATTAAATCTGAAGAATTATTCTTAATAGTTGCAGTTAATTTTTTCTCATTAGAAGCATTTAGAGCCTCCTTATATTTTTCATTATCCAGTAATGTAGAAATTAAATCAACAACATCTACACTTTGACTCATTTTGTAGTTCTAAGATATACTTATATATTCCAAAAAATTCTGAAAGTCAAGTGCTCTAGATATATTAAAAATACTTTATGGAGGTTAGTTTATGTTCCATTTTCATCCACCGAGAAATCAAAATATTGATCAAATCTACATTAGAATTCCTACTTTTTCATTGCAAAAAATCGATAGATTCTTATACTTACAGCCAAGAATCTTCTGTAATGTACTCATGTCCAGTATTTTTTTTCAATCGTTAGTGAAATAAATAATTCATCTATTCTTTCGAAAATGACAAGCTTATCTTTTGGTGTGATGACTTTTGCTTGTAATGGTAAACACGATGTTCCCACTTTACTCTTTGATACGATGACACGATTGATCGAAAAAATTCAATGATCAATCAATGAAATGAACGAACATCAAAAAAGGAAATAAGCATGAGGAATGGGAATGGGAATATCAATATTTTATGAAATGATAGTCTTCCAATGCTGATATAAGAATCTTATAAACTCTTTGTACAAACTCTTTGCTGCGACATTGAATTTGGCAAAATGGCAAACGGAAAAAACCTTTTTAATTTCTATTTGGATGGCAATATTTTTTCATACGTCAAGAAAAATAGATTAGACAGCGTAGTCGTAGACAGAGAATATACCTCTATTCTCTGTCTACGTTAGACATACTCTTATCATATCAGTGGTTAGACAGGCTGTATTTTATCGGGAGTAGGTATAGAGAATACTAGACAAACACGATGGCTGGATGGCTCGCACCAAAGAGTAAAATTTGGGGCAGCACTATTCAGCACTATTTGTCAGTAGACAAGACAAGACGTACGTCAAAGTTCAGTCAGTTTCTGATTGACAAAAATATGTCAAGTTATTCTTTGAAATTCTGGATTTCACTTGTTAGATTTTTTCCTATATTTAATTAGCACCTAAATTACAGTACAATAAAAAAAACAAATTTTAATCAATTTCGCATATTTCGATGAACACTGTAAGAAATTGTTTCTGTTGTAGTTTAAGAAGACCTAAAATTTTTTTGTATTTTTTTAGGAAATAATCGGATTGAACCCAACTATACCTGTAAATAAGTCAACTTTATATTAGGTATCGTGTCATTGATATTTTGTTTGAATTCGTGTACTGTAACCAAGATAAATTGAGATGACACTGAAGAAAATAATAGGGAAATTGCTAAAACTTGGTTAAGCCATAATAGTTCTAATTATTGTATTTAATCTAGCCACATAATAGCAAACATGGCAACAAAACAGAAAAACATATTTACACGGAGCAAGCCTTTGATGAACATCTATAGTGGTCTAGACCATGAAGGAAAGGAGGTATGGAAATAATTAATTTATTTAAAAACTTAATCATACTCATTATAAGTGCATGTAGTTGTTACTATTTGGAATAAGCATATTAATTCATTGTGCTTAGCAAAATAATGTATGTAGTCCTGTTATGTTGCCAGGTAGAGGTTCGTGAGGATGCAGAGCAGTTAGTGAAGTGGCATGAGATATCCGATGCTCTGGTTGCTGCAGGGTACTACCGGGCCCAGCTACAGGGGCTCTCTGCATTTGACAAGATTGTGGGTGGGCTCACATGGTGCATAGAACTGTGTGACATAGATGTTGATATCAGCCTCCTATTTGAAGAGAATCTCACGATTGGTAAAAAAATGTATGTTACTTAAACACTTTTATTGATTACAACAAAAATGATACATATTATACTTCAAATATTATAAAATAATTATTTTATCATTTCCAGAGCATTAACAGAAAAAATAGTAAAAGTATTACCATCAATGAAATGTCCTCACACTATAGAACCTCATCAAATCCAAGGTTTAGACTTTATCAATATTTATCCACTAATTTTGTGGCTAATAAAATATTCAAGCGAGTTCAGGGAGGCCAAGGAAGATGAATTGAGGAAGTTTGCAGTTATGCAATATGATAAGTGTCATATATTTGAGTCAGATAGGGCTGTCTTTGTTCAAAAAGAAAAACTGCTAAGAAACTTGGCTGTTGTACAGGTATTTTATTATTCACTTGAATATAGAAACTGCTACAAAAGTGATACATGTATAGTCAGTTGCTGATAAAAGTAATGTTTGTTTTTCGTGAGATAATACATGAGTATTATATTTCAGCTGAAGCAAAAATAGCTTATCAATTGGTTCCATACAATGATAGTTAATCAACATAATGATACTAATGTTATTTTTTCAGAATTTGTATAAGCCATGCAGAGTACGCAAAAGGAAGGGAGGGCTTCCTGCCAATGAGCTAGAACAAGTAAATGCCACACTGTCTGAGTATGATCAACGCATGCTAATGCATGTGTCTGCCAATAAAGCTGATGTCAAAAATGATGATGGGTTAGACTTTTTGGTAAGAACAATTTAAATACTATTTGAAAGCTAATTTGTTGATTTTCATTATTGTTAATTTAATTTAATTTTTTTCAGTATGATTATGAGAAAACTTTAGCAGACCCTACAGAAATTACCACTGAGGTAAGTATAAACCAAACAGATACTTTGATTTCAAGTTAGGGTTCCTTTTATCCACAAAACTATTTAAATGGACAAAATGACTGTGTTTACAGGCTAATAGATATGTGAAGGACCAAGAAAGCAAAGGAACTGATGCGGATACAAAGATTCACTATGCAGTCTTACATTCTGAGCTCACTGGAGAGGTTTCCAAAGAGTTGGAAGAGAGAGAAAAACAAAAATATTCTGAAGATGTTGATAGACTTACTAAAAGCATTGATGTTCTGGAGAAAGAAATACAAACATTTAAAGAAACCCACCAAGGCAGAATGGAAAACACTAAGAAACAATACTCAAATGTACTCGGCAAGATGCAAAAGATTACTAATAAGTTGATGAAAACTGATGGGTTTAGGTATGTTATATTTGATTGCTAGCATTATTCTTTTACTAAAATCTAAAATATTACTTGGGCCTAAACAAATATGTTAAATCATTGTGGCACCTTCCTTCTCTTTTGACTACAAAGAAATATGTAGTTAACTGATGAGGTTACTTGTTAAATCTTTACGAGGTCCCATAGGAGGGCGGGGCGAACAACGCCACTGCGTAATGCCACAATAATAAATTAACAATAATGTCGTAATAATTTCTCAATGTATTTTTTCAGTGATAAAGATATGAAACATTTCTACAAGTCCCTCAAGGAGCTAGCAAGGGAAAGAAACGAATTATTGCAAGTGATTCAGCATAGGAACAAGGAACATAGTAAACTACAAGATAAATTGCAGTAAGTCGCCTAGTAAAATAGTAACTTCATATAAATTGAACCCAATTTAAATATTGCACATATAGTGTATGCTGTAAATAATAAAGAATTAAATTAACAACAATTAATTATGAGCTCCAATGTTTTCGCCCTTCAGCGTACCACGAATCGCCGGCGCCGTGGCGTGTGGTGAAGTGAATCTCATGTCGCATTGGTCTCTAATACATTGATGCCTACTACATGTCAGTACATGTAGATACATCGCGTGATAATCGCTTTTTTCTAGGAAAGGCAGATTAATTGATAAATACACCACTTATTTTTGTTCAGCAGATTTCATACTTATTTGCACCTAATACCTATTTTTTTTTATTTATACAGGGCAGCAAAAGATCCGGACTCCAAAATCGAAGATAAGCCGCTATCGCCTGCTGAATTAAAAGAGTTCAATGAAAGAGAAGAGAAGTTGAAGGGCTTCATAACTTCAATGAGATTGGAACTTGCCAAGTTAAACAGAGAGGTGCTACGGTACTCTACTGCCATTGATGAAGTGCCTGGCACTGCTGAGCTGCTGCAGTATGAGAAGAGGTTCATCGAACTTTATAACCAAGGTAAGACATGGTCAATAACAAAACACTATGAGTTACTAGGTATTTTCGTTTGACCAGTAAAGACTTTTTTATTTTACTTTGGATTTCAACATAATCGTCATTTTTCCTTATTTATACTTACTTCTTATTCACCTATAACCTAATATTAATATAATTTATATGGTTTCGAAGCTATTTTTAGGGCAAACAAGGTACAACGTTACACCGTGTTATCAAAAAAATATATTAATTTAATCTTTTTGTTAGAAAATGAAGTGTGGTAGGTATGTCCCTCCCTCCACTTGTGTTTACTTCTGGTGTTGCGGTTGTCCATGGACGGCGCCAGTTACTTACCATTAGGTGATCTGTCTACTCGTTTGCCGTCCAATAACATAATATTTTTTTAAGTACCAAATTACACTTTTTCTCCACAGTTGCATCAAAGCATAAGGAAACGAAACAGTATTACATATTCTACAATACATTACTTGAAGTGAAACTATATACCTCAAAAGAGTTGAGTCTGCTCAACTCCATCCTGGATAACTATGAAGAGTAAGTATTGTTTAATGGTCTGCCTATTTTAAACGTGTTTCGATATGATGGGGCACCCCAGTACCAGCTTTTTCCTCTGGACCGCGTTCGGCGGCGTGCAATTGTTGGGTGTCGGGATATTTCAAACCGGCAATACATTTTGGTAATGCGTAGAAATGTAGCTACACTGTGCATCTTCTATCACTTATACCACGGGGAGAGATTGTTTGGTCTGATGCCTGCTGGGTCTTTTCGCCATCGTCCCACACGGCAGCATTTTTATCCCCATCATACTTATAGATAGTTGGCGACCCACAAATGTGCGCTTTTCTTGGAACGTGGGTGTCCAAAGGCCATCCTTGGACACCAGCTGATCGCTTACCATCAGGTGATTCGTCTGCTCGTTTGCCTTTACCATAAAAAAATTAAGTATTTCAAAGGAATTTGAAGGTGCCTCTCAAAACTCGTGCCATAATCAATAACACTAATCATATGCCTTTTCTCTAAAATTGAACCAAATGTCTGTACAAATAAAAAATGTAAAGAGTGCGTGTATATGTTATTGTTTTATAAAACACTTTCGTACTTAACCTTACGTAACTAACTTAACCATTGAAATGATTCACGAGACTGCATCAATCAATCTTTATTAAATTATTTAATTAAACGTTCATATTTCAGAGCTATGTCTTCAGTCAGAAAGCGAGAAGAGTTCATGAGTCAGTTCGAATCCATAGTGGATTGGGTCAACCACACGGTCAGGAAGGTCGAAGAAAAGTTCAAGAGTGAAAAGGAAAGGAAAAATGATCTCTACAACGAATACTCAAGGTTGATGGATGTTCAGAGACAGTATGCTGCCGCATTGAAGAAATTAGGGGAACAACGCCAGAAGATTGACACAGACAGACACAGTTGACCTACTAACGATATCTCTTAAATATTCTGAAGACCTTTATCTCGCTTTTATATTTCCACAAGCATAGTTTATCTAGTCCCCAGTTATTAGAATATTAATTATTTTCTACTTTTATACATATTCATTCCAGAGCCCTCAAACATATAATTTAAGACTGAATATAGGTTTTATATTGTTCAATGTATTTGTAATTCTGTGTTTGTAAAGTATAATGCTAAATTTATTTAAGAATAAATAAATAACACGGTTATATATACTAATAATCTTTATTTAATACCCTGATAGAGCAACCGACACTGGCTCGAGTAACAAAAAATATGTGTCGCTTGCATAAAAAATACTGTTTTGGACGGATAATATTTTTATACAAAATGAGATTCAATTTTGAAGGCGTACGTTAAGCTTCCATGCTACGCACAGCTGAGTGCGTTATCTGAATGGTAATATCATTCCACATTTACGATCTTTTAGAGTGTGACCACACTGCTGTGGCCCTTGGGAGAATTCCTGTGTGAATGGCTGTGTCCAGTGACATGTGCTTGATTATGGCTATGTCCTTGACCTTGTGAACTTGTACTGGTTTTCTTGTACATAGTAAATGAGACCAACTCCCGATTGGCATTTGTCATTGCCATGGCATGTGAGACGACGTCGTAACCAAATAATGCGTGAAGACGATTCACCACGACTAGAGTAAGCCCTTTCTGTGTTACTCTTACTGTTCTCTCCGGCTCTGATAACATTGCTACCTGCATGCCGAAAGACGTGTTCAACTCCTGAAAAGTATAAACATTCATGAATGGACAAGTTATTAGCTATTTAGTTATAGTTCGTAGGTAAGTCGTAACTTTTAAGCGCCCATTCGAAACAATGAAAAAAGTGTGAGTCATGAGTTGCATGTAGGTAAGTGCAATCACGTAACTGCTATGCAATTTTGTTCTCTGATGCATGTGATAGTATTTTATTTTATACTGATTGGTGTTTTGAAATGGTCCATAAAATTGAATCTGTGCTTGTTACTATGAGATTAAAACAAAAGTATAGACCTAGACAATCACAATACAAGTTTGTTTTACCTATCCTCTGGTGAATAAGGGGCGCGATGTTACATTATTTTATAGTTTTAACGAATCAAATATTTAAGAGGTATTTTAGTATACCTGCAAAATAAAGTATTACAAGAAAAACTTATACCCTACGGATAAACAATAATATTCGGAACGTTAATTACCCTTACTAATGAAGCTCGCTCTTCACTCTTAAGTCCATACACAGTAGCACCCTCATCTTTTGATAGGTGAGGTGCGCTAAGACTTCCCATAACCATGACGTACGGCATATTTGTTTGTTTACAAGTTACACTTCACAGCTAAATTAAAGTAAATTGATGTATTTTGTTATTATTGTATAAAAATATCACCGGCAGATTACGTATATCATTTTAATTGTACGCGATATAAAGCAAACAGTCACAAATATCGTGTGAACTTGTGAGTGAGGCAGGTAACCACGCGGACACACAGCCTGTTGTAACCGCGATCGTTCGTGTACTCATGTGTGAGTTGAGTCCACCAGATAAGCACTAACCTGCATGTGTGGTATACAATGGTATTTCTATGTAGGTAGGTTGCTGTACGGATTGCTAATGACGCGCTTGTAGTTGTTCGAGACGTGACGTCGAACCAAATGACCTTCACGGGTGCTTGCTCTGCGCGGACGCAAGTTGTCCAACAGCTCGTGCTCGACCGTTGACTGTCGCGTACACATGATCAAACATTATAGAAGCAAGTGTACCTAAGTATATAATATATACGATGAAATTTAACAAAACCCTGATATCTCGTTTTTATAAAATATCACAAGAAACTATACTGACATGGAATAACACTGGCGACTTTTGTAGCCATGTTATGGAAATTGGAATAAAACAAATGTAAATCAGGGTGTCATGACGATTTTGACATATTTTCATGGTCAATAGTTTATAAATATTGGAAAGTTATTTACAAAATAATATATCAATCATGAGCCATTCTATGAGCAGCCCGAGAAATATTCAATTAGGTGAGGTTTCAAGCTGAATTTTATTATGAGAAATATGCAATAGTGCTTAATTCAAGATATCAATCTTCTGCTTCCCATCTATCATTTACCTGAAGATGGTCTTTGAAAATGTACCAGCAATGTAGCCATGATTTCATTAGGGTATTGCAAGATTATGTGGGTAGTAAATTATTAATTGTAATATGAAATTTTAGTTTTCGAGACCTACCAAAAGGCTCGACTGGTGTTCGTTCAAACCATGGCTGAACTGGCGACTCGAGCAACTAATGTTAAATGCTTGGAGAGCGCGGGTGTACTCGGTAAATATCAACCTATCATAGTTAATGTAACTAGGTACTTTAGGTATAATAACTACCTACTTAATGCCTAATAGTCATGCGATAGATACTTTATCTACAGTGCCTACATACCTATCTAAGTAAGTAGGTATCTATCTACATTGAGAAAATGCATCATTTTGTTATGTGACGAAATCTAATATTAAAAGTACGTAATTCTTTTATTTTAATACAGTAGGTACCTCAGAGCTGTATAGCGAATTCCAAACCAGGCAATTTAAGACATTCGGATTCAATTAACGGGACGAATAGTGTTTAAATTGGGTTTTCCGAAAACTTTCTGCTGCAGGACAAACTCTCCGCCAATCTGAAAAGCTCAACTCCACAGAACTTGTAAATTATTACCTAACCGGCCAATAGTGTATGTTACCATTAATAGGTACCTATCTATACTGTATGCATCATTGCCTAGTTACCCCTTTAGGAAGAAAACCGTGATGTTTATGATGTATAGCTTACTAAATACATATAATGGCATACAATATACATGAGTTATAGGCGTGATATTTACACAGATTTACTGAGACCTCTACTATCTGATGCGTGCAGTACTGTCCGCCAATGTGCCGTTGTCGCAGCCGCACGTCTTGCGGAACACGATGAGGGGGTAGCACGACAACTCCTCAACGGAGGCATGGTTACCATCACCCTTGAAAATCTTAATAAATACAATGTAAGTATTTCTCATCATATCAGCCACAAGATCCACTGCTGTTGAATCCTAATGACTTCCAGATCGGGTGGTTAGAAGCTATGTAAATACTTATCCTATCTTATCAATAGGTATGTAGGAAAACCTGGTGGTAGGCGCTTAGGCAGATTACAGTGTCATGAATGGTACCTAGGAAGGTAGTACCAACTTAACTATTATGCCCAGTGCAATTCATTACTGGGTATCTACTGATTCTGTAAGCAGGCTATGCTCTTAATTACAACAATTTATTTCAACAGGTGTATTACAAAAGGTCTGCGTTGTATTTAATGAGAGCTGTTGCTAAGTAAGTATTAACGTTCAAAGCTACGAACAAGTATTGGACAATTACTTATTTTATTTACACTTATTTCATTTTGCAGACACAATGAAGAACTTGCATCTGCGATTGTAAGACTCGGAGCGTTGGAACATATTGTTTCCTGTTTAGAAGATTTTGATACGCAAGTGAATAAACATTGCATCGTAAAATTTCTGACACAGAAAGTTTATTTTTTTAATATTGTTTCTTTTATATTTTAGGTGAAAGAGAATGCAGCATGGGCCTTAGGGTATATAGGCAAGCACAGTGAGCAAATAGCGGGGCAAGTAGTCGATGCTGGCACCTTGCCGTTATTGGTTTTAGCTTTCCAAGAGCCTGAAATGAGTTTGAAACAGGTTGGTATTAACTGGTACAAGACCACCGTTATCACTTTTAATTTTAATAGTTTTCTTGTGTCTACTTGTTATGGAAATTTTTAGATCGCAGCTGGCGCTCTGGTAGACTTGGCTCAACATAAGCCCGAAGCTGTAGTTGATGCTGGAGCTATATGTCATTTAGTTCACGGGCTAGAGAACCAAGATCCTAAGCTGAAGGTTATTTGTTTCTTAATTACCTATTATGATGTTGAACAGCTTACTCATGTAACTGTTTGACGAAGAACTCGAATAGTTTCTAGCTACGCTAGGGGCTCACATTCATGAGGAGCATTGCGCGACACACCGTTGTCTCACGATAGTTATAATAAAAATATATTAATAATTTCTTGTTAACCTTATACAGTTTTCGACTTTTTGGTTTTCTGATTTTTGCGAGCGATTTTTTAATTGGTAAAAGTCACATTAATTAAATATTTAAATTATCTACCTATAACTAATATAGGTAGGTACATACGTATTCTATTATGGTTTTTATATTCTAACACCACATCCTGTTGCGTATCGTTCAGCGTAGCACACTGTGCGCACTGGGTGCAGTGGCGGGTGCTCGCACGGAGCTGGCAGAGGCGGTGGTGGCTGGAGGCGCTCTGCCACCAGCGTTACTGCATGCTGGACACGACGCCGCTCCCGTGCGTCGCGCTGCGGCCTGTCTTCTCAGAGATATTGTCAAACACTCCGTTGACGTGAGTTGGTGTGCTAAACGCCTATAAATAATACCTAAATGTATCTGTAGGACACCATGATTGAGTTTGGTGTACAGTAAATAAATGATGACTGACTGCGCCGTAAACGAGTAGATTTTGTATGCAATATCTATGGGTTTTAGAGTCGATTTATTTACTGTATTTTTAGTTGGCGCAATTAGTCGTGAACACAGGAGGATGTGGTCCGCTTGTAGAACTTCTAGCTGAGTCGACAGGTGGAGCTCGTGTGCCTGCTTGTATGGCACTCGGTTTCATCGCTGGACAGTCTGACCAGCTTGCTATGGCTGTTGTTGAATCTAAGGTTTGCATAATATAGTATTTCGCACCAATTAAATAAAACAGCAGAACCAACTTTTGGCTATACCTATACCTATCTAGCATTTGATGCAAATGGGCTGATGATATTAAAATAATATACTATTATGTACCTACTGTTTGTAACTAGGTATTTATTTTACTATGGAATTTTCAGGCCATCCCATCATTAGTAGAAATATTGCAAAATAATGATGTAGAAGATGCGGAAATCTGTGCAGCTGCTTGGACACTAGGGCACATAGCAAAGCACTCGCCACAACACAGCCTAGCTGTAGCAGTTGCTAATGCTTTACCTAGACTTCTTCAGGTAACCCAATGCAATTGTTACATAGAAAGAGTAATGACACTGAAAACTTGATTTTAACCACTTTTACTGTATTTATTTCAATGTGTAATACAGCTCTACACCAACCCTAAGTCCTCGGGAGAGGTACGTGCAAGAACATCATGTGCTTTGAAACAAACCCTGCAGTGTTGTCTTCATAGACCTGCTCTAGAACCATTGTTGCATTCTGCTCCTGCATGCATCCTAAAATATGTTCTAGCACAGTATGCTAAAGTAAGTATCAATAAAATTATATCGAGGGGTAACAAACTATTAGGTTTAAGCTACATTTTGGGCAATATAGTGTTATTATATATATTTGACGGAGAACAATTAGCTGATTCCAAATATATATATAACTCAATATCGCCGAAAATGTTGCTTAAACCAAATAATCCGTTACCCCTCAATATTATTCTCACTTGTATAAGGTTGTAGCATTGAAATATGATAGAAAAATACCACATGTTTACTAATTTAAAGATTTATTATGATTGTAATATCACAGACCATACAGTCGAGTCTAATGTCATAGAAAATGATGAGATACAAAATATTTACCTATCACTAAACTTATTGTGTACGAGTGTTCCTTATGATGAATGGAACTGTACTGAATAAGAAAAGGCTTAGGAAGTAGGTGTACTTTAAAGCCACATACCTGCTCAGTACACAGGCCCATCATCAAGATTATCATCTTCCTCATCATAGTCCTCACCATTATCAAAATAGTTATTGGCATAATCTGTTCCATCGTCTATTTCAAATTCTTCTTCATGTTCATCTTCAACTTCCTCATCATCATTTACTTCTTGGTTATTTACAGTCTCTTCATTATCATTGGTTTCCATAGCTTCATCACCTTCTTGAATTTCTTTCTTTTCTAATGTCTGCAACCTTTTCGCTATAGCTTCTGCATTACTTAATTTCGGTTTAGGACCAGCCGCGGCCGCCTTACGCACTTTTTTCGCCTGTGGCCTGAGTTCTGGTGGCATATTAGCCCACACACAATCTAATACTTTGTCTTTCTTGGCATTAAGAGCAAGCATTTTGTACTTATCCGAATATCGTTCAATGCCATCTGACTCGGCTTCTTTTCTAACGTAAGCCGGAGACTCGTGCAAATACTCAATAAACTGTTCTTTCACAATCAACATGTAATCCGTGGCTGCGTCAGAAGGCAATGGTAGCGGTTTAACTTCAAGTTTTGGAAAAAGTGGAGGCGGTGCCACATTTTGTGGTGTATTCTCACCTCTTGCTATGCCGAGTGCTTGCAGTTGATCGTGTGTTAGTGACAGGTTGCTTCCTCCTCGTCCTCGTCCTCTTCCAGCCATCACAATTTAATTTAGAAATCTGAAGTTACTTTAAAAATACTATTTTAGCTTGGTCTGCTTTAGACCGTCAAGCTGCCAGGTGTGATGTGACTGGTGCTGGTGCGGTGCGCGTTGTATTTTTGTTCGTCAACAAACGTCAAATAAATACCATGTGTTTTTGACATTTCTCAAATGTCAAGTTTTTTTACTGTTTACATCTAACTTGTAAACTTGCCTTTTTAGTAAACAATATTTAAAAAAATATTCCGCTTTTGAATAAAAAGTGAATGCGATTGTTGACCATTCCATGCCACAAAATATTACAAGGGTTTACGAATTACAATTTTTCACCTATCTTCAGTAAATTCATATCAATTAAGTGAACGGTGTCTAACCCTATATTAATTTTTATAGATATTACCAAATGATGCAAGGGCCAGAAGACTATTTGTTACCACAGGCGCTTTAAAACGGGTGCAAGAAATTGATACAGTTCCTGGGTCATCGCTTAAAGAATATATCAATATTATAAATAGTTGTTTCCCTGAAGAAATTGTAAGGTGAATATTTTATTTACAGTTTGTCTATTTATTCATGAAAATTAACGAGGGCGCCACAGGTCGTAAGTACCTACCAAATAAAATCCGTACAATGTAAACAATCCTTATTTTTATCTTCGTTTATTTTGTAGGTTTTCACTTCTATTACATACAATAGACAGTAATACGATTCCTACCCGTCATACCGCCACTGTTCGAGCGAAAACATTGTCCTAATTTCCACACCAGCGCCATCTGGTGAACAAAAATATAGTAGCCCTTATGCTTTGTAGAATACATAATTATAGTTACCAAGTTAATTAATAAATTCGTTTTTTTGTAGATACTATACTCCCGGATATTCGGATTCGCTCCTAGATCGAGTAGAAGCTTACACACCTCAGGTAATTTCTTTTTTGTAATTAATTCATGTGATTGGATGATTCAGTCTTTACAACAATAATATTATAACAAATAAATATTAACGATGTCATTCATGTTTTTATTTTCAGATACCCGAACTTTTTACGGATAGAGTTCCCAGCGACTGCCAAAGCGAGTTAACTATAGAAAATGCAAACTAATATTTTTATATTTCTTTATTAATAAATTAATTATTTTTGTACATTATGTTCGTCCTAGTGTCCACACCAACTTTTGAACTTGTATGGTCCTACCGCCAATATTGGTTTTCTCCATTGCCATGGATTGGCTTATGATCCTGTAACTGTAAATGTATATTAAAATTGATATACCGCAAATTTGAGAAATAAGATGATTAAACAATACATTATTTTTCAGATACTCACTTGTACTCATTGCCAGATAAAATATTTAGAACGTTAATTCCTTGAGTATCAACTTCAAAAAAATGTTCTTGTTTGCTATTTAGTAAATTTAAATCGGTAAATTTTCTCTCTAGACTTAGTATTTCATATGTCTGTAATCCCTGGAATAGTATTAAAACATATTTAACTTAGGGTTAACTTTAACCAGGGCTTAAGTATGCCTTACTAATGCCATCTTGTGAGTAGTACTTTAATAACCAGGTCGATTAGTGGGTTAGTTTAATCTAAACAGCTGAGTTATTACTTTCGCTAACTAATAATATAATGCAAAAGTTTTGTTGGTTAGGGTCAATAGACCATAAACTGCACTAGCGCCTCTAGTGTTACGAAAACATCCGCCCTTATCATGGTGATGGGTTCGGTGTGTAGACGTACCACAAAATCTAAACGCACTATTATGGTGACTAGTTCCATTCAAATTACAATCTAATAATAATAACACCACGCCTTTTAACCCCGAATTGGTAGGCAGGGGTGCACATTATGGCATTAATGCCACTGTACAATGTAACACTCATTCTTCAGTTTATATTATTAGTCCCATGTAATAGGGGGTGAGCCTATTGCCATATACCGGGCACAATTCCTGACTCCGAGCTGCCACTGAGAAAATACCGCTCGGAAATTATGGTTAGTAGCACACACAATTTTTGCTGACATGATGTTCAGTTTTGTTATGTAGTAAATGAATTTATGGTAAAAAAAACAATACCTGTAATTTACAGGATGTGAAGCTAGTAGTTTCCAGTTCCGTAAGAAGAATATAGTGCATCGTGTTCCACGATATTTAGTACTACTGTGTCAAGTGTTTCGTTACTTGGCAATTTATACCTAGGAGTGATTTACATATCTACTTCCTGTTCCCATATCCTGTGGTGGGTGTGGTATAGCAATGATTAAAATATCACAAATGTTATTGACATATATTTATTTATTTGTAACCAGCATAACAATGAAGTGACACAGATTTAGAAGGCTCTTTGTTTGAACGCCATGACTGGAACCCTGTGAAACAAAAAGAAAAATAGGTTAGGAAAGAGAATAAGCTACTTCTGTTAAATTTGAGTGTAAAATGTCATCAGATTATAGTTATCTTCAAAGATTTCGAGATATATGCTTGTCTAAAAAATATTCATCATTTTAAATTGTCATACTGGGTGGCACTCTGTAGTTTTGTTTACCCTCATAGCAAAAAGGAGTGAGTTTATTTGCATGTAATAGATAACGAAGAAAATAGAGATGACATACCCAAATCGAAAAAATCTTGCTTCATCTTCATCAGAGACAGCCTTACGAGACAATGTAAGAATTTTGTTCAAATCTGTAAGAAATATGGATTTGATAAATACAAACATTTTTTGAAGTAAATGATGTTGTAGTTTTTTAAAAATCAGTTGTTACCAAGACCATAGTTTCCCCACGGTTTTGTGAGACAGGGATAACTAAGATATTCATCATTATAATATGCTTAATAATAAAACAAAAGATTGTTGTAAAAATTATATACCTTTTGAATTTCCATTCTGCTGCAGCACATGATTTATCAGTAGTTTACCTGAGAAAAATAAAGACAAGTTAATATACATAGGAAAAATTTTTTGAATTGGGTTATGTATGGTAATAATTTCAGTTGTTACCATACCATCTTTTTCCCCATGGCTTTGTGAGACAGGGATAACTAAGATATTCATCATTTAGGATTGTGATTTAATTTCAAGTTTGTATTATTTATATAACCGAGAATTGGATCTGACTTTAATGGAGTTTAGAATTAGTTGGATAATTTTCTTTATAATAATAATTGTTTTATAACCTACCTAATTTAAGGCTTCTATTATAAATTCATTCATGACCAGGGGCGATATACGAGTTACTGTAGCGTAGCACAATTTACCTGCACAAAAGAAAATCAAATTAAAAACAGTGTTAGTGTTAAAAAGTTTTGATTGTAAATGGATATAATAATTTCAGTTGTTACCATACCATATTTCTCCCCATGGCTTTGTGAGACAGGGATAACTAAGATATTCATCATTTTAATATTTATCCATTGAAATTATCATTAAAATTAAATTATTGCTATGTTGCTTACTAACCTTTTTTTTTCTTTCATTTTAGGTAGACATTGGTATTAGGCAGGTCAAGGTTTTTTTTCCGTTAACAGTATTCTGAAAGAAAATTAACACAATATGTAACAAATTGTCTGGTATGTGTTCATAAAATAATAATTTTGTTTGATTTTATCAGTTGAAATGCTTTCATCAAAAGTATAAGATATATGCTTGTTACCATCATTTAAAATTATTAAATTAATTGGACTAAATCAGTTTATTTCCTCACCTCAGATATGAATTTGTTGGATTGTCTTGTGTACTATTCTGTAGTATGTTTCCTGGAACAACACAACATCTTATTAGTAATTTGTTTTACCCTTATTTTAATTATACAGTTTTATTTTTTTAGTCAGTAAATCAATCAACATAGTTGTTCAGACTGGGGCGATATAAAGATCATCATTTAAAAGCTACTAATGTTAGATACATAAAAAAACATTCAGTTAAATTAGGCTCTTGTCGAATCAAGCCTGCAAGATTAAATTGACAGTTTATAATAATATAGCAAGCATAAAAGTAAGAGCCAAAACTTACTTGTATCAAGTCTAGCCATACACCATCTATTATTTGCTTCTCAATACCTGAAATAAAACAAATAACATTAATATGCATAATTTAGAGATATTGTTATAAATATGTAGTAAAATATTATCAGTTAATCGGATCCACACATTAGTTCAGACTGGGGCGATATATGATCATCATGAAAGTTAAGTATACTATTTCATATATTTGAACTAGGTACTTAAATATAAATAATTTAATGTGTCTGTTTCTTTACTTACCAAATTCTTTTTTAACTCTGAAACCATTTCTAGTTGTTTACTTCAGATTTACTTTCTGTAGGGCCCTGTAAAATTGAATTTATTAATATTTTGCAGTTTGACATATCTATAGTTATGTTTGTTTGTTTTATGTTCAGAAACTATCAATCATCAGAAGTCAGACAGGGGCGATACTTAAAGTCATCATTTAAAGTTTTTAAAATGTGCACAATTCTTATTTTAGTTTATATACATACCTAAGACAGGGCAGGGTATGGCCAAAGTTGAACACCTCATTGTAACTGTTGAAGATTCTGGAAAGAAAATAAATTTTTAAGTCTAGATGTGTAAACTGTTGCTATTTTAGACCCTTATTTAATGTTTACTCAGTAAAGATCAATCATCAAAAATATGCCAGGGGCGATACTTTTAGTCATCATTTAATTTTATAGCATGAAATTTTAAAATGAAGTCTAGTAAAATAATGTATAATTTTTGAAAAAAAAAAAAAAAAAAAAAAAACATTACCTACCTACTTAAAAAATTTTAACTTGTCCATTGGATTGTCGTAATAGTCACTGAAGTAAAGGTGACCTGCCAAAGAAAACATTAAAATTAAATAAATGGAAATAAATTAATAAATATTTGTCACACTCAACCCTTGGACATACAACTATGACAACTGCATGTCTTACACAGAGTGTGATAATGTTCCTATCCAGAGTCAAGCATGCATGACTTGACTATGCACACATCGGCTTTGGTAGGGTATTTTGAATATATTCCAGAAATATAGTATGAATATGATGTAATTACCTGTCATATAAGCAGTCTGTCATAAGGATTGCAAACATTATACTTCAACTGGTTTATATTAAAACCCTTGGCTGCAGCACAGCTGCTTTTATAACTGGTTGCAATAAAACCTGTGAACAAAAGACAGAAGTTTAACACCAGGCTCTATGTTCCAGAGCTAAAGCCTTGAGGCATTTAGTTTACCTATCCACTTCAGATCATGTGAGAAGATGTAAATAAATGTCATCTTCAGCAGTAACAACTGACTGAATATTTCAGTCAGTTGTCCAAGCTGGACCAAGGAGCTCCTAATTAAGGGGTGCATATGGTTTAATCAGAATATTTGTCACACTCAACCCTTGGACATACAACTATGACAACTGCATGTCTTACACAGAGTGTGATAATGTTCCTATCCAGAGTCAAGCATGCACGACTTGTCTATGCACACATCGGCTTTGGTAGGGTAAGTTAGATGAGTTATAAGATTGACAGATAGACTATAAATATGATTTTTCCAAAGTTTCTTCTATACAATTTATCAAAACAAAATCAGTTCCTACTAGAGTAAGAAAATGGATAGTGGAGTAATAAATTGTAAGATAGTATTAAAAAATCTTACCATTTCTGGTTGGTGGACTGGATGATGGGAGACTTTAGTGCGAGACATTATTTCCCTGTGAAAGAACACAATTATTAGATGAAATACTTTTTATTAGTCTAAAAACAAAGTAATTAATTAACCAGTTACAATCAGTTAGGTGGTAAGTTTGAAATCATGTGTTTCATACGAACGAGACTAAAATATAATTCATCATTGTAAGGATACAAAATGTTGAGTAACTTAGGTTATAATTTGAATTATTTTACGCAACTTACTTTGTCTGATGATGAACACACTAATGTTTCAGGCCATATCTGGAACCAACAATAAAGTTTTAATACATTACATCCTAAAGTTTAAATAATAATTTTGAGATGTCAATTCAGCAATGTGGTGAATTTGAAATCATTGATTCTCATACGAACGAGACTATAAAATAAAATTCATCATGATAAAATAATTCTTAACTTGATACAGTCAAGCTGTGTCTACTAACCTTAAATTAACTGATTAGCACGCCTCAGCTGTAACATAAAACAATTTGAGTAAAGAAAACACACCACATGTTCTACAATATCAAATAAACTCACCTATTTAACAATCATGGGACTGTTTATAAATAACAAAAGACACAAAATTTGGCTTAGAGTAATTCTTTATTTACTGTCCCTTGATAGTCACACTTTATAACCTTGTTGAGGCACTAAAGAATTACTTCTTCGCCGGTTTCTTGCCGCTGGGCTTCTTGGTGCGCACCTTCCTGGCGGCTGCCTTGGGCACCAACTTCTTGCCGAAGGTACCAGCACGCGCGGCCTTCACCTTCAAGCTCTTGAACACTGCCGTCCTGGCGCGATTCCTCTTCACACGCGCGGACGTCAGCTTGAAACGGTCGAAGTCTGTCATCTGTGCACGTTTCTCTTTGTTGGCGAGTTTTGTGGCCCACTGACTTTCTGTCCACTTTTCGCTGAGTTTAGCATCCGTCCATGCTTTCCTCACTATGCGAGTGGGCGCTGTGAATGGGTAGTTCAGACGGAACTTGGTGAGATGCAGCTGGTTAAGGCGGATCTGTTGACGTGAGACGCCGCTGCAAGGCCCGTCGACGAGAGCACGGGTCTGGTCAATAACATCGACCACGCTTACTAACTTTCCCTTCAGGGGACCGTCAGCTACCAGGGCAACACGCCCTGGTTCAACAAATCGCGCGAAAGGCATGACGTCCTGGAAATAGACGATTGCAGGTTAATTTCACTCAACTACACGACAATGCCGTCACTTGTCTAACATCACTTTAGGAAATCAACGGAAATAGGGGGAAAATATATTGTATAATTGAATTGTCGGGTTATATTGAATACACGACATGATTTAGAATTGATGTGAACTTAGAATTTAACGAGATTAAAACGGATAAAATTATTCTAACCTTACAACGTCTTTACAAAATCACTGTTTTTACGAAAAGAATTTTTGTCCTTGTTTCACTTGTCAAGTTGACAAGAAACACGACCGGTGTTACCATACAAAATAATTTGTTGTCTATGACTGTTTCCCAACTACCTAAACCACTGAACATACTAATAATCACTATATCGTTTTAGTGCATTCTTACTAAATTTATTAATATAATAATATAAAAATAAACTTAATAAAAGTACAATATTTTTGTTTATTTTGGCATCCTGCTATCAAAGTATAGCTGAAAAGTTTACAGGATATGCAGCATTATTGAAGTATTGTACTCTATGGTATTCTATTGTACCATAGATTTAAAAATTTTTGGGCGCTAAATTCAAACGTTGCCAAGCAACCATTATCGAAAATCATAACACAACAAAACGCTGATTGACACTGATTATTGATTAAAACTCAAGAACTGCACAATTTCAAACAAAAATTGTTCTTAATTGAACAAAAAATGAAGCTGAAATATTCAAAAACACTCCTGGAAGCTCAGGTCTCTATTAATAATTCAATTCATTTGGTATTAAGTACCTTAATGTAAGCTTAAGAAATATGAAAAAGATACTTATTTACAATATTCTCCCTATGATTGAAATTAATTTCAGGACGGAGAGAGCCCAATAGCAGATATTTGCTGGTCACCTAATAATGTAAAGCTAGCAGTGGCAACATGTGACCGGTTGGTGTTGTTGTTTGACCGTGAGGGAATACGGAGGGATAAGTTTGCCACCAAGCCTGCTGATCCTGCTGCAGGGAAAAAGTCATATGTTATTACAAGTAAGTACTTGGAAACTTGATAGATGTGTGAAAGTTGAAGTTAAGTAACAGAGGAAGGTAAAGAGTATCCTCTTTACCTTCTAACAACACAGGGGATTAAATTATGTACCTAATGCACACAAGTTCACTGCTAAGCTGTGGGCTTCCTGCTCATAAAAGGGTTTGCCATAACCACCACGATGGGAGATCATAGTTTTGAAAAGGTTCATCAGGTTAATGAGTGAGCGAAGCTACTATGCTAGTGGTCTCTGTCAATATATTGTACGCTTTTATACAGTTTTGAGAACAACCGTGGGAAGAGATGCTCTTCCCACGGTTTTTATATTGGTGTCGTAATTCTTTTAGATTTATCATTCAGTGAGAACTCGGAACTGCTAGGCGTGGCTCAGAGTGACAATATGGTGTTCGTGTACCGCGTGGGAGCTGATTGGAGCGGGAAGAAAGTGATCTGCAATAAGTTTCCATTGACTGGTGCACCCATGTCACTGTTGCCAGCAGACAACGGGTTCTATACTGGCACGACAGATGGGAAGATAAGGTAACTGTGGTGATGTGGGAAATAGCATTGAATGTGTCGAATTAAGAGCCTTACTAAGAAGCAAATTGGTTATTCGGCTCCCACTATATTACGTACGTATATTACGACAAAATACTTTTACCTTTTTTCTTAAGGGAATGTGATCGGATGTTATGTTAAGAAAGCGTACAATGGTTCACTGTAGATATCATTACCATGGAACAGGACGCCTTACGTAGGCCTTCTCCTACCCATCTTTAATACTAGTACTATTAAGTTTTTATTAATGAAATTGATGTAATTAATTTCGTAGATCTTTGGATTGCAAGAGTAATAAGAGCAGCAGTATGTGGACTGGAGGTGCTTGCTGTGTGTCATTAGCTCGGGGCGGGGAGGGCACTCTCGCGTCAGGCCATGTCGACGGCACTCTCTACCTGAACGGACGACTCCTATTGCGATATGCGTTACCCCCGACTGCACTTATTCTACTTCCTCCATATGTAAGTTACTTTTGAACGGTATAGGAATTAGACATTGTATTGTACTACAAGTAAGTCTAGAAACATTTTAAATGCGATAATCATCCAATCGTAACTGAATTTATAATAAAAATTAAATCTTAAAAACTTTCAACTTTAGCTTAACTCGTCGAGTACCGGTTTTGTAGACACAATTATAGAACAATAGGTTGCGGTCACCGGTGACCGCTTGGTGTTTGACAGTTTAAACAACACAATACTTTACGTTGAAAAAAATAATGAGTTACCTACTAACTTTTTTGGGGGAGGAGCCCTCAGTTTTACCATATTTATAATTATGTAGTCAAAGTCAAATTTTTAATATCAGCTCATAGTGGGATCTTGTGACGGTCGCGTGTCTGTGTATGAAGCACAGCGTGGAGCTCTCCTGCGCAGTTTAGAGCCTCAACTGCCGCCCGATCGCCGTGATCTAATATCTGCAGCCCCCAGTCCATCAGGGCAGGTAAGTTCTGTACCAGACAAACTTGTTTTACACTTTCATCACCGCGACACATAACATAAATGTCATTAACTATGTAGATAAATCCTGTTCTCCAATGCATTTTACTAAACCATTATAAACATGCATACACTTTTCATATCGAAAATCCGTGGACATTCTTAAGTAAATTGTTTTGTAGACTGGAAATTATGATCTGCTGGCAGTATATACCTGCTTTTCTTAAGCAGCGCATCATATTTGTATATTTTTGCCAGTAGTTGATTAAAAATTATAGACGGTGGCATTTGGCGTGTTCGACGGGTGTTTAGTAGGCGAGCTGAAGGAGTCTGGCGGAGTAGAGTTGTCCATGTTGAACATACCCAACTTGTATGCGGCGCGGGCGCTCGCTTGGAGCGGGGATGGAACTAAGCTAGCAATCGCTTCACAAACTGGAGCTGTTATACAACTTGAGGCTGTGTTGAGGTATGTATATTGTAATAGATATCTATTTATCTTGTCTGCAATTTCCATAAGAGTAGGTTCCTAAGTACGATATCAAGTAATAAGTATCAAATACTGAATGATGTTTTGTAAATATGAATGGGACTACAATGTTCATTCAAACTAAACAAGCAGTCGCGCTAATCGGGTTGACTTTTAAACTTTATTGCCTTAGTTGATTTTCTCGCAGTTTCTTTTATAAAATAATGTACCTTACTTCACCTTTTAAGCATTCCCTGATCTTCTAAATATGTATAAATCTAACTATTCCATATTTAATATTAGCCAGAACAACGAACAGTGCAGTGAGTGCCTAACAAGGACGATGATAAAATAAATGTGTTAATCTGTTTAATGAATGTGTATCAGACGCTGGGTATGGCGTGACTCAGTGGAGGTGCAGCACGTGAGTGGTCGCCAACTGGTACTGTCGCGACTGGCTAATGACGCTCTCCCGCTTACTGTCACCACTAAACAAGCTCCCGATATATTCAACGTGCGGTTTATCGGTGTGTAAGATCATACATGTTCACTTCGTATCATGTTCACTTTAATTTGCAAAAATTTTACTAAAACTTAAAGCTTGTTTGAAATGTTCACATTAGAAAACGCTTCTGTTAACGGAGAACAGGCGAATAAAATAATCATTAAACTTATTATCGTTTTCGTCCCGAAAACTTAAGTATAATGTATATATGATGGAAGACTATTTTTATTTTAATGTCCGTCTGGTAGATTATTTAAAAACATTAGATACGTACCTATTTTTTATTTTCTTACGGAAACAAATGGTTTCGAAGATATATTGATTTGAAATATCGCATGACGTTACTTTTGAGTACGATTTATAGTCTAAAATGACGTAGCTACCTCGATTCGTTTTATCTAAGTATTGTTTTCTTATACGACAAAGTAAAAAAATACGTGTCTAATATTTTTTCATCGCCTAACTGACAGATAATAAGATTTTTAATTTTCACACCGTGTCATCATCCCCACGGAATATAGAATACAATGGAAGTAGCTTGAAACAATATTTCTGCCAGAACCGGTGTCGCCAAACTAATACATTTATAATTTACTCATACTATAAATCGGAAATTACGATTGGTTAGAAAAAAAATGGGCGTAAACGAAATGCAAAAAAAATATCATACGATATGCAACTTTAAAACCAATGTACTATAAATCAAAATAAAAAAGTATGTTTTGGACTACCAAGTACCGCCATTCGTCGCTAGATGGCGTTTAACAACGCCATCTAGCGACGAAAAGTGGTACTTGGTTTGAACTTTAACGTTGTAAGAATAAAGGTGATATTTGAATGGCTTATCACTGGCTCGAATGCGGGTCTCTACTCAGATAGTGATGTAGGATAATTCGATAAAAATAATATCGATAATATGAAAATGTGTTTTAAAAATAATATGAAAAAAAATATTGACTGCTATAGTGTGACAGTATTAAAATAATAAAATTAATATGTCGTTGATAACTTTTTAAACGTAACAAAAAAGGGTAAGTATTTATTTACATGTAAATCAAAAACCATTTTGTTCGTATTTTTTATTAGTTTCTTTTTTCAAAAAATCATTTTTTTTATTTCACATAGGCAATATAAGTAACAACTATTACATAAATTTTTACAAACTTTATATGGATAATGTGATAAATGAGAGGGATGGCGATAAGGATGACGGTGCTGATCTGCTCCGTGAAGTGAAGGTTGCTTCCAATCACGTCGGGGTCACCACTAAAATAATAATAAAAAAATAATCTAAATAAATGTTACATTACACTTGCATCGATATCAATCGATAAATTCAATATGTGATTTGACTACATAACTATTTGAGTAGCGTAGAACTGGCGAGAATGTTCTATTGAATGGAATAAATCCTAAATAAACTTTATCTTGAAGGCGTAAGGTTGATTTTGACTAACCGTTTTAGTAAATAATATTATTTTAATAACTGTTTTTGTAAATTGAAATAAAATAAGATTTCTACAAGAAAACAATAAAAATTGTACTTACCGATGATACGGAACACCTCCATTTTTACGATTTTTCGGCTGCTATCATTTTTACACGCCAAAACGGAACAAAACGGCATAGTTGAGGAAATATGTATTTGACACGATACTAGCAACTCGACGCCATGTTCGAACGAGACTGAACTCAAATTTTGCCTCGAGTAAGCAGTACACAGCTTAGCTGTGGCACGCGTGCCACGCCTACTTGCTACTTCCATTGTATTCTATATTCCGTGATCATCCCTATTACGCTCGATATTACTGTGTATGTATTAAGAAAGAAAAAAGAAAACATATCATCTTCCATGATAGGCCATTTATCTTACAATAATTTGATCTAGTTTTACATTTCCAGGTAACGATTGGTACGCTGTATGTCGTACTAGCTCCACATTGATATTGTGTGACATCGCGCGAGGTTTGACTAGTGAGGTAGTCAATCAATGTATAATGTACTCTATTTATTTATTAATTAAGTTCAATATTTATTACATAAGATTACATTGTAGATCCCGTGGTCTGGAGGTGGTGAAAGGGTATATGCAGCAGTTGGAGGCGCATGTCTATTGCATCGAGCGGGTGAACTGAGCGTTGTTGAATATGGCCTCGATAAAGTGTTACATACGGTAAGATTTTCTACTCATTATTTCTTTTTCATCTTTAGCTTCAACCCTGGGAACTCAAATTGTTACATAATTATGTTACACTTAAACCTTTTTCGAATAAAACCCCTGCCCAATTAAAGCCCATCAAAATCGGCTCAGTTTTTAAGTTTAAATAGAGAGAGAGAGACAGATGCGCCGCGGGGGTTTTTATAAGGATACGATATTTTACTCGTCGAGTACCGGTTTTGTAGACACAATTATAGAACAATAGGTTGCGGTCACCGGTGACCGCTTGGTGTTTGACAGTTTAACATTTGGTAACTATTTTATCAAGAACTAAGGACTTTCGCGCGGTGTCAGCCCCTTCGCTCGGCTTCTTTCAGTCGTAGCGTGATGTTTCATAGCCTATAACCTTCCTCGATAAACATACTCTGAACGAAGTCGGCAACTCGGCAGTTTATTTTTATAAAAAGTTATAATTATACACACTTTATCGTCCTAGACTACATTCACAGTTGCGCGGTTGCCTTAGTGAAAGGCTATGTCGACCCGGTATAGATCAGGAATTTGGGCTGAAACCCAACCAGTTTGGCTAGGTCCGAAGATCACGATTATATCAGCACCTTAGTCTAGACTATATCTGCCCTGAATTTGGGAAAATAATGATTATTTATAGCAAATAATTGCTGATCTAGAATTTCGTGATTGACGTAAATCAATGCAGTTCTAACATACAGGCAATTTGGGAATACGTCAAGAACGCAGGTAATAAGCATTATTATTAGGGTTGTAACAGTACTATCCAACACAAAAATAATTATTCAAATCGGACCAGTAGTTCCGGAGATTAATGCGCCCAAACAAACAAATTCTTCAGCTTTATATATTTGTCAAGAATATACTATAGGTGCGGACGGAGCGCGTGAATCCTCACGTGTTAAGCGTACGTATAAACGAAGGCGCTACTGGCGGGGCGGAGATAGGCGATCGCAAGCACCTCGCCTACTTACTCGACAGGCAGACCATCGCTGTAGTCGACCTTACTACTGGTAAGACTCGAACATTGTTTGATTGTTCCTATACTATTTATCAAGGTTTTTCTGTGTCGATGTTTTTTAAGAGTAGTCAAATAGAATTGCTAGCCTGATTATTCAATGTGTGTACATGTGTGGTATTTTGTACTTAAGAGTTCTGTAGTACCTATGTGTAGTTCTTTACGAATGATTCACCTGTTTGATAGACCTAAATACTTAAGTATTATATATTTAATACGACATGTACACATCAGGTATTCAACTGGGGCAGTGGTGGCATGAAGCTCGCGTGGACTGGCTGGAGTTGAACGAAAGTGGACAGTTACTATTACTAAGAGACACGAGACGAAGGCTGGCTCTATTGAGACTTGATAATGGAGAGAAGGTATAATTAAATTATAGATACAATATTTATAAAAATGTTGAAGTAATACATGAGGTTTTAAAGGCGTCAATATATTTGTACTATGTTTGTGTAGGAAATCATTGCAAGTGGAGTATCTTTCGTGCAGTGGATAGAAAATAGTGATGCTGTTGTGGCTCAAACCCCGACTCATTTACTTGTATGGTAAGTAGCCATTTATCAGGCACAATAATATCTTTACTACGTCGAGGTACAGAGATGTATTAAGAATTATCTACGTCATAGGTATAGTGCCTGGGACCCCAGCAGTGTTGAGATGGCAGAGTGCGGCGGCGCTGTTGCAGTCGAAGTAATCTCAAGACGTGTTGTTCTAGAAGGAGGACTTCTGCCTTATTTGCAACTAGACGAACATCGACTCGCTTTTAGTAAGCACATATTAATTATAATCAAAATGTATAACTCGTAATAGTTGACATTAGATACTACTAATTGATCAGCTTTTCAGTATTAGTGTTAACATGATGTTTATCATGAAGATAATCCATTGGAACGGAGCGCTAATAGAGCATTTCGCAGGATTGAATTAATCACTGCTCACGATCGCGGTTACGCTACGGGACGGGGCAGTGCGGTGACCCGCCGCGTAGCGGATCTATTATCATTATCTCTGCTACGACTGTAACAAAGCGTAGCAAATGTCTCCGGTCTGCTACGGTCGTAGCCAAATTATGTATTGTTTTAAATTATGATAAAATATCTTAACTATCATGTTTAGATTACGTAAATCAGTAAAATTATGACATGCGTCACATGAGCGTTATCTAATTGCGATAGAAGTTACTTATTTCAAGAAAATATTACACCAATTATTTTTTTAACTTCTGTAGATAATGCCCTTCGCAGCGGTGATCTAGCCGGGTGTGCGCGATACTTGGACGGTGTCGGCAACAATGCGGACGTGGCGCCATTATGGAGACAGCTAGCTGAACGTGCACTCGCTGATGATGATGTTCAAGTATAAAATTTTATACCACTTATTTTTTTGTAGCTGTACTTTTACGAGTCTTTTGTTCATGGTTAATCATACTTTCTTATTTCTCATAGTTAGCTGCCAAATGTTACCGAGAAGTAGATGATGTGGCTCGTACGTTCTACTTGGAGAAGACTGTCGAATTGGCTGCCGATGAAGGCGACGGTGACGTTACTGTTGGTGCGTATGACATTGCTTACAAATATAACCATATTATATGTTACATACAATTTAAGATACATGTTAAGTTACTCATGTTTTGTTTTGTATGAATATATAATGTTTGTGTTAACAACTTTTAAATATCACATTGACGTGTAGTCTTTTTTAAGAAAAGAAACCCCAAACTCTTAGGAAAAAGATAGAATGTTCTTTTGCATATTAGAAACAGATGTAATGAAAATATCTTTCAGGACTAAATAACGCCCTAGTGAGAGCTCGCCTAGCGATATTCGAGGGAGATTTATCAGCAGCAGAGGAATGTTACGTCCGTCGAGCAGGCCGGCCAGACCTGGCCGTGAACATGTACAAGATGTTCAATAAGTGGACGGAGGCCATCGCACTCGCTGAGAGGACCGACCGAGCCTCCGTGGCCTCGCTCAAACAACAACACATGGACTATTTGACTTCTACTGGTGAATGAAGTATTTACTTATGTTTATTTAAAAATTTTAGAGTTTAGGAGTGAACGTGGTTTGAAACGTCCAAATTACATACACAGATTTCTCATAATGTGACATGCCGATGCTCATGTTTTGTTTTAATCGAAGACAGCTTCGGGTTCTGCTTGTGTATTTAATTTTTTTTAAAGTTCCAAAGTGGAATTGCTGTAACACTACAGCACCTGTTGCAGATTACATTTATGCCAATCGCCAACCCGTATTGAGCAAGCGCAGTGATTAATACACGAACCTTTTCCGTGTTAGAAGGCTTGGTTTAGCAGTGGGCATTTATAGGCTGTTGATGTGATTTGTAACAGTTCATATTTGTACTACAGTATACTTTCCCGTATTTATTTTTATTTAATTTGTTTTGTGACTACCATATTTAAATTTTTCCGTGGGACGGGAAGTAATTGATTAAGGTGTACTTTTTTTTATGGCATAAGCCGGTAAACGAGCCTGATGGTAAGCAATCGGCGTCGCCCATGGACATCTGGAACACCAAAGGCATTACAAGTGCGTTACCGGTCTTTTGGGGATTAGGAGTTTGAGGATCGTTGGGGATTTAGGAATTGGGGAGATTGGGGAAGGAGAGGGTAATTGGGCCTCCGGTAACTTCGCTTACACTCACTTACTAAAAAAAATGTACATTGTATTTGAAATTACGGCTATTTCAAGTCAATTAGTTGATTGTGATGTACCAGGCAGGCTAGGTGAAGCAGGCGCAGTGCTGGCGTCGTCGGGCGACGTGCGCGGCGGCGCGCGGCTGTGGCTGCGGGGCGGGCGCGCGCGCCGCGCCGCCGCCGCGCTGCTGCAGCACCCGCACCTGCTGCGGGACGCACACCTGCTGGACGCGGTGCACACGCAGCTCGTACAGGTCTACCTATATACCACTGTGTTTCAGTACAATTACACACGTATTTCTGCATAACTCATAGTTTGGCAAACGAAAACTAGGCAATGTCTTAAAAATCAACTCTTGAGATTTCATTAAAAGCCAATTGAAAAAATACAAATAAAAACTAAAATATTTACACCTTAAAAAATAATTAAAATGTTACCTTAGGCAATGTCCTTGAGATTATGTTTGTTTCTAAACATTACATCTTTTTTCCGTCTAAGTTTTGTATACTATCTACACAACTCAATCAGGAATTTTGAACATTATAATTCTGAGGTGGTTTAAAATCACGTCATTAAAAACACGTTATTTAATTTCATCTTAAATTAAATATCATACGAATCATAATCCTTTATAATTTTACGTAAGCAGCAAGAATATTTCGTATTTTTTTCATTTCAGGAAGAATGGTGGGAGACGGCGGGCGAAATATCCGAGCGTAAAGGTGACACTCGTGCCGCCGTCGAGTACTACGCCAAGGGAAATAATTATGCACGAGCTGTTCAACTGGCTAGAGAGGTACTTCGTTGTTTTGAAATATTGTTTCAGAATGCTATTTTTAATGTTTTATACCAAAGTATTAATTTCAATTAAGATTTTTAAGAAACCTATAACGTGTGAGACTTTGAAAGTCAAAAATATTCCATATAATGACTTTTAGATTATTTTCCAAAAAAAATATATCCAAATCTTAAAAACAATTTAATTCTGTGTTCAACTTCAGGATATCATGTTATAAGTAGTAGTAATGTGTTTTAGAGCGGTAACAAGAGTAATATTGTTGGGTCAGGCATGCCCGGGTGAAGTGACCCGGTTGGAGGGCGAGTGGGGCGCGTGGCTGGTGGCGGGGCGGCAGGCGGGGGCGGCCGTGCCGCACCTCATCGAGGCCGGCCGCCCGCGCGCCGCGCTCGACGCCGCGCTCGCGGCCCACCATCATAGGAAGGCTCTGCAGATATTACAGGTAACACTGCTAACGAGTGGAATTCTGAAAGGTAACCTGAGTATCTTCAAGGCACGAGTGAATAGGTTGCTTATGGGCAGACGTGCTCCATTGTAGGTCGAATCATCGCTTACCACGAGACGAGATAGTGTCCAAACGTCGGCCCATCAAATTTAAAAAACTCTTGCTATTTCTTTAACTCAAAGAAGGAAATGACTCATGAAACCCCCTTGCTCAGAAAACATAAAGTGGACTGCCAGATTCTCATTGGCTAAAACTTTCCCGGTCTAATTTCACATGTGGGTACGAGAGTGCGAAAGACGTAGATGATGCATTCTGTCGTAGATACCCAATAGTGTCGTGGATGTGATGTAACAAAGAACATACATGATCAAACAAATCACTTTTCTTCAAAGGTAACTCCTGTCTGTTTTACATCACTAGGCCATTTACGGCCACTAAAAGAAGTTATTAGCATTCTTATACAATTAATGCATCTGCTATTTAGTACAAGAGCATTAGCCTTTTCTTGTATCCAGTTTTGTTTCGTTTAATTTGATATGTTTTCTGCCTCATTGGCCGAGTGGTCGCAAATGCGACTGCCGGGCTACTTTTGGTGTAGTTGTTATTTTTTTAATGGTCGTTCCAGATTGTACGGATGTATTAAACGACTGCCTCGTTGCCCGAGTGGTCGCAAGTGTGACTGCCGGGCAAGGAGTCTCGGGTTTGATTCCCGGGTCGGGCAAAGTATGACTGGGTTTATAAAAACCTCAGTAGTAGCACGGAGTCTGGAAACGTGCCCGGTATATAGCAATAGGCTCATCCCCTATTACATGGGACTCATAACATAAATAGTGAAAAGTAGGTGTTACATTGTACAGTGGTATAATTTGCACCTCTGCCTACCCCTTCGAGGATAAAAGGTTATGTTAATTTGATTTGTCTACCAGAGGTCATTGCTATCCTATCGGATTCAGAGTAAATGATATTGACATAAGGTTAATGTAAATTACCACGATAAATGTGGATGGTCCCGACCGATAAAGCTTTGCCATATGCTGCGTTTGGAACGAGTGCAAAAGCGTTTTGTGTGGCACTTAGCTTTTTGTGAAGGAAAATATAAACAGCTACCTTCCTATAAAACCCGTATGCAACATTTTAAGATGCACACTCTATCCACACGCAGAGATGTCACAGATGCCATATTTCTATTTAAAATATTGAGACATAAAATTAAATGTTCGAAATTGTTGGGTCTTGTTGGATTCCATGCCCCATGTAGATACCCAAGAAATATTATTATGCCTTTATGCCCGCCACAACGTAGGTCTGTACTAGGCAGAAACTCACCTATACCTAGGCTATGTGGGATTCTCAATAGCTGCAGTGACTCAGTGGATTTGAACCAGGACAGTATTTCCAAGATTGTTAAGGTAATTGTAAATGGATAAATGAATAATTATGTAAATGAATAATGAATAATTAATTAATTAATTAATTATGTAAATGAATAATTATGTTGTGAATGAAACCTAATGTAACCTATTGTAATTTGATGAAATCTAATCTTTGTCTGTCTATTCTAGAATGCATAATGTATGAGATGCTAATTGTTTTGTTTTTTCTTATTTTTATTGTTGTTTCCTATGTTTGTTCTAATTGTGTGTTCACCTTAAATAGATTTCCGTTTATGGGAAACTATTATTTGTGTTTAATAATTTAATTTTTGTGTTAATTTAATAGTTGTGTTTTATGTTTATTAATTTAATTTAATTTAATAATTTATACCTGGGCTAATACCTAACTATTCTCTTGAGCATGATGTGTTAGCCTTTAATTGATTGTTACACTAGCAAATGCATAATATTGTATCTAAACCGATTTGTTGTAAAATGATGTGTAAACAGTCGTTGGCTGACCTAAATAAAATAAAATAAAATAAAAATAAATAATTGAATCGCCCACCTGTTGGTGATTGGATATTACATTGATGAGGTTATGTTTACACAATATTTGCCTAATCTAGTTGGTTGTGATTTCCAGGCTATAGACGATAAGGAGTCCATCAGAGAGCAGTGTGAGAGACTTGGTGATCACTTTATATCGACCCGAGTAAGTTGAAATTATTATTAATATGAAAGTTATATGGGGACTAAATGAAGTCTTTCAAAGGCACTCTTTCTCTTGACCTTATTAACTAGTACTGTGGTCGACACAGAATCTTAAAGTAATTCGGTTGAATGTTAGTTCTATATATGGCGTGTTTTGCATTTACTCACCACAAACCACATTTTTGAGCTTTTGGTTACTCGTATCGGTATTGACACATGTTCATCATGTAACTTTATTAAAAATGTTTATTAAAAAAAAAATACAAAAACAAACCTTGTACTTACTATTATTCGCATGCTCGTTATTCAGGAATGGGAGACAGCAGAACGCGTGCTAGTATCATGCGGTATGTCGGAACGTTGCGTTCGAGCATACAATGCTGCGGGGCGTGTAGCAGACGGACTAAGGTTGGCCGCCGCACAACTATCCGAGGAACAAACTCGAGACATATACATGCCACTAGCTCAACAACTGCGACAAGATGGACAGTTACGGAAGGCTGAACAAATATATATCGGGCTTGGGGAACCTGATGAGGCTATCTCTATGTATAAGGTACGATTTACCATTTATGTTTTTTGTTATTCATCATCACTATCATCATGAACTGTGTGTGCTGAACATAGACTTACCCAATATTCTTATGGCTTTTGATTTCATGTTAGAATATGGAAAAGTAACATTTGGTGTACGATAAACTGTAGCCAGAGTTTAAAAGGTTTACTTATAATGAAATCTTATGATAAATCTATTGAAATTAAGCTTTTTCAAACATCTATTTGTCTTTTGTCTATGTTATCGGTTCGAAAGTGGTGTTTTTAATAATTGTGCCCTGAAAATGTAGATTGATTGCTTTATTACTCACTGACAAATAGTTCCACTTTTAAATTTTGTTGACAAATAAAATTATCAATGCTAAAAGTAAAACTAATATCTTGTATCGGTAAATGGTAAAACCAGGAGGCATCTCAATACGAAGCGATGCTACGTCTAGTATCAGTGCACCGTGGCTCGCTACTGGAGGCCACGCGGCGTCACGTAGCGCAAGCGTTACACGCCTCGGGAGATCTGCGCGCTGCTGAGAATTACTATATACAGGCCGGTTAGTGGCACTATTTTTGTATAGTAATCGATATATACACATATATTATGTATTTTTTAATCAAAATTCATTCTTAAAGTAATTTTTTTTTTCAATTTTTTTTGATAAGCAAGATTGTTGAGTAATTTCCACTATAAATGTGCTCTTAATAAATTATAGCAGTTATTTTTGTGTATAATATAATATAATTAGAATATAATAATACTTTTTGTTTCATATAGGGGATTGGAAAAGTGCAATACAGATGTATCGTTCAGCGGGACAATGGGAGGGCGCAGAACGTGTTGCGCGTGCGCATGCACCCAGTGGGGTGCAACAACAAGTACGTTGTTACGTAAATTAAGTTATTTTTTTTCCTTCTCATACAAGTCATAACTCCACTCCATCCGTTTAAGAACATAAAGCATCTTCCCTTAGACTTTCTCTTCGGCTAATAACTATGCAATGTTTGTAAGTAACAAAACAATATGTATGTAGGTAGCGCTGCAGTGGGCCGCGGCGCTGGGCGGCGCGCCGGCCGCGCGGCTCCTGGCGGCGCGGGGGCTCGCTGCACTCGGGGCGCGCTGGGCACTGCAAGCTCAACGGTGTCATTTCTCAGCATATTCATTGCCAATAATATTATAATTCACCAACAGCCTATAAATGCCCACTGTTGAGCAAAGCCTCTTCTCACACGGAGAAGGTTTGACCATTAATCACCACGCTTCCTCAATGCGGGTTGGCGATTATAAACTTATAATTAGAAATTATAAACCCAGGTTTCCTCATAATGTTTTCCTTCACTGTTTGTCAGTGGTGTCTACATAATCTTAGAAAGTACATGTAACTCTGAAAAAGTCACATTGGTACTTGCCGTTGGTAGGTTTCGAATCCGCACCCTCATGTATGAGAAGCGGGCGTTTTAAACCTCCGGGCCACCACAACATTATAATTTTGTTGAAGGTTTTCATTATCTATATACTATATAGTATTAAAATTTGAATAGATGTCGGTTTATGTCTAGCCTGCGTGGTTGGCGCGCTATAGGTATAATCTGCCGTCTACATCTGTCTTGTACAATTATCTCTAGTATAATTGACATAGCATCACGCTTTGTACTATTTTCTAGCAAAAACTTAATTTTAAACCAAGCTGTATATACATGCGTATAAATCATACTACGCTAATGATTACTTCTAAATGTTTCATGTCTAATGTAACATAGATGGGACATCGCAATGGAGCTATGTTCTCTTGGTGGAGGCATGACTCGCAGCGAGGTAGCGCGGGCTGAAGCTGCAGCGTTAGCAGAGGAAAAGCCTGATGAAGCTGAGGCTGCGTTCTTAAGGTACGTACAGGTGTTACCATACATGTTTCTGTAAAATGGACACTTAATATTACAGTATATATTATTTTATATTATTATATAAGAAGGAATTAATTTTTCTCTTGGTCAAGGCATCACGAGTGAATAGCTAGACCGTTTTCACTAATTATTTTTTTGTTGTATTTGTTACTAGCGACCCGCCCCGGCTTCGCACGGGTGCAATATGCATGTATTATACATATAAACCTTCCTCTTGAATCACTCTATCTATTCCGCCGCATCAAAATTCGTTGCGTAGTTTCAAAGATTTTTTACTTTGTTTTATACTATGTAGTTAGGGAAATGTTCTTAAGACAGAAAAAATCCTGAAAATCGTACGGGAACGTGAGAAAACGGGAATGCGCGTACGAAATCGCAGGCAGAAGCACACTAGCACATATTATAAAACGTGTCGATATTGTCCACAGGCTGGGTAATGACCAAAAAAATGCTATACAACATTATTATTTTTAGGTGTACAGTATTATCATTGTTTAAGTTGATACGCAAGTTATACAAGGTGTTATACAATCCGTGCAGGGCCGGCGCGGCGGAGCACGCAGTTCGCATGTGGCTGCAGCACGGCAAGCATCAGAGGGCACTCGCGTTGGCTGAACAACATGCTCCTGCATTGGTGAGATACAGTATAGTAGATGGTATATCTATTGGTTGATTTATCCAGTTATATCTGTTGGTTCCCGGTCCTGATATTTTTGAATTTTTTAAAAAACTGTTGAAGGTAAATCCTCCGCTAACGCCCGGTCACCGATTACTTCCATGGCGTTTAACGTGTTAAATAATTGATGTGGCAAATAAACTTCTTTTTCTGGTATTTTCTATGCTAGTTGTTTTTTAATGGTGAACAAGAATGTTTGTTAATAATTTTGCTTTCTTCTAAGATGGAAGAAGTGTTAGTGGAAGGAGCGCGGGCAGCTGCTGAGCGCGGAGACTTGCCGCAGTTTGAGACGCTCATGATTAGGGCCAATCGACCTCGCGAAGTAGTGCAACATTATAAGGACTTAGGTAAGAGGTTTATTTTCCTGTAACGCAATTGTAACTTCTCTGGTATTGCGGATATCAATGGGTGGCGTTATATATTAAAATATATGAATCATATTAAGATATAATAATATAAGTGAAGATATTGAAATAAATCGAATAGAGTTTTGTCCAATTTGTAACTCCTTGTACAACAGAGTTATGGGACGAAGCATCTCGTGTATCTCGTGAATACGTCCCGGAGAGTCGTTCAAGCGAGGAATCAGTACCGGACGACGTACCGGCGCTCCTGCAGCGCGCCGCGGAGCAAGCGGACGCGGCGCAGTGGTGGGAGGCGGTGTCGCTGCTGGGCGCCGCCAGCGCCACGGCCGCCGCGCACGCCGCGCCGCGCCTGGCCGAGCGGGCCGCGCTCAGGGCGGCGCGCCTCGCCAGGGACCATCTACATGACGCCCGCAGACGAGCTGCTGCTGATATGCTCGCCGAAAGGTACTTCAAGATACCTGGCACCTACATGTATTTTGTCATAGAGAAGGTAGAGCAGTACAAGTCGCACGAGATGTTTTAAAACTTGCTCTATGAACTGACTCATCCTATAATTACCAACAGATATTACGCTGTTATACTTAACCTTGATATCCTTTACTGAAGAATCGTGCCTATGGTCACGCGATTAAAAAATCAGTCAAAGTCAAAAGTAAGTAAAAACGCGGGTTACTCACGTAAATATATTCAACGTCGCGCCGCCGCGACCGCGCACGCTGCTCATGAGGAAGAACCCCTCTGTGGTTCGAAACTAGTAGAACTTTTCTCAGTATATTCACGTGAGTAACCCGCGTTTTTACTTAATTTAGTATGCCTCACGATAGTTATTATAAAAACAAAGTCAAAAGTAAGAATTATTGATCTGTTGTTCTGTTGTTTTTTCACATTCAGATTCGCTGCAATTGGTCAGAGTGATATCGGAGAACAACTTCGAGCGGCACTCACTGAAGGCTATGCAGCTGATGATGAAGCTCCAGGTAAAATAGATCAATTAATAAATGTCCTGTTTTTCAAAATCAATCCGTTCCAACTTCCAAGAAAATCTGTCTAGATAAAAAATCTTTTTTTTTTGACATGGTGCTAAGAACTCGCAACTTATAAGAGACTCAGAATTATAGTAGAATAACAACAATATGCAAATTGATCAATATAATAAAACAAACAATTCATATGAAACAGGCACATCAACAGAATACGAAGAAGAGGAGATAGAAGCTCCTCGAGAAGTAGAACCAGAAGTAGAAGCCGAGTCAGAAGCATTAGAGAGATTAGCTCGCGCCGGGCACTGGCAGCGCTGCCTGGCGCACGCCGGCCGCGCCGCGCCGCACTACGCGCTCCGATACGCGGCGCATCTGTTTAAGGCGCACCCTGTAGGTATTGTTACGCTCTTAACGACGACTTCTTCAATATATAATGAAATTGTGGTGTTCTCATGCATATACCTAACAACGCAAAAATACTCATTTGCATATAATCGGTTAAGATAGAACTGCTCATATTTGTTTTTAGACTGTAAAGTTTAAAAGACCTTCACATTCAGCGTTATTATTCAATATCAATCATGAAGGTTACTTCACCTTTGACGGACGAGTGATGACATCTATGACTATTTCACCTTATTTTTCACGCAACCTTTTTTATTTATAGCGCATGGAAGGCATAGACATTGAAAGTGAGGAAGCTCCAGAAGTATTAACGCAAGTTCTAGACGTGTTGCGTCAGTACTTGGGCAATGAGTCGGGCATCGACTCTATATCCTCAAATGATATACCATTGGCTAAAGCAGTGTGTTCCGAGCTTTTACTTCGAGTGTCTACTGCTCCTAAAGCAGTGACTGCGTTGAAAGATGCCGGCGCTGTCATGGTGGCTGCAGGGGCTGAGGATCGAGTGCTGCAGGTTAGTTTTGTTGTTACTTAATATTATTTTGCTCAGCCCATACAATTATTGAACATAGAATTTCGTTATTATGATTGTCATCATTTGACCAATATGTCGATATTAATTTAGAAAAATATTGAAACAACATTTACGGAAATTAATTGTTTCGTCTGTTTTAGGCAATAACGTTATTATTAGCACTTCACGTGCCCCTGCTAGCGCCAAAAGCAGCGAGAGCTTTACCTCGGTACACAGACATCATTGTTGCTGATGCAGGTAAAACTAAAAATATTGTTTATATCGTAGTAATTCACGCGTTGCCATTTAAGGGGTATGCGTAATAAAATAACCGAAACTTCCGAATAATAAAATTGTCTGAGCATCATAACAAAAAAGACGACACGTCGTAGAAAGTGAGCTACGCGTCATCGCAGGCGAGCTACGCGTCGTAGCAGATGAGCTACGCGATCGTAGCACAGTGGCTACGCGTAGCAATTGACTGGTTACGCGACGTACCTGATAAGCTGTGGTCGTAGCAACCAATGGTAAATTGATGAGCTGCGTGTCACAGTTGAATAAGCATGACGACTTTATTTTTATTTCATGTCCGTCTGGTAGTTTAATTTAAAATATTCTAGTTTTTCTTTTTTATGGAATATAATCATTCGATTTTATTGTAGTAAAGATAATAGTGATATTATCTTTTTTATGGGAATATAGCCTACTACGCCAGCGGCATGGCGGTTCGTGCGGAAGGTCCAAGTGGAGCCCGTGAGGCGTTTGTCCTACTCAACCGCTGTCTCGATCTAGCAGAAGCTGCCGATGATGATTCTGCACATCTATTGGATTATACTGACTTTGGTATTACTTCTTCAATAATTATACCTTTACTTCTAAATTCATTAGATACAAATTGTTTACAATGCATCAATATTCGTAGAGTGTACTGACTGGAGTCGCACCCCGCTATTGCTAGATAGTGGTTGCGTGCGGGGCGCTGCGCTGGAGGATGCTCGAGAGTGGGTACTCGCGGTCTCAATGGATCAAGCCGTTGAACAGGTAAGCTATTTAATAAACGCATAAATTATACAAGTATTCACCCAATCAGTTCATTTCCACTAGTACATTTTTCGTTTTAATAACATAACAGAACATCACGCTTTTTATCCCCGAATGGGTAGGTAGAGGTGCACATTATGCCACTGTATAATGTAACACCCACTTTTCACTATTTATGTTGAGCCTATTGCCATATACCGGGCACAATTCCGGACTCGCGTGCTACTACTGAGATTTTTTAAATCCAGTCATACTTTGCCCGACCCGGGAATCAAACCCGAGACTCCTTGCCCGGCAGTCACACATGCAACCACTCTGGCAACGAGGCAGTCGTTTACTACATCTGTACAATCTGGAACGACCATTAAAGAAATAACAACTACACCAAAAGTAGCATAAATCAGTGCGATAAATTCTACAACAAGTTCAGTAAGAGCTCAATTTCTTTAAATCGTCTTTACTACACATTTAAGTGGTCGTTTAATGTTCACATTCAAATAAAATGTTATAGGAGTCCTTCTAAACGATCGCGGCACTCGTAATATGAAGTTCAGTGAACATTTTCATAACAAACAGATTCTCATATTACTCCTCCATTAACCTCACAGCTATCTCCATTTTCGAAGTAACTTTGTAAACTTGACACTTCACATAAATTATTTAGATCGCACTGAGAGTTTCTGGATCAGCGATCTCGTGAGGATCGCGGGATTACTAAAACTTTAAGCTTTTAATAACGAGTTTCCCAACAACGAAAGTTTTATAATGTCTCTTGACTTAGAAGTATTAAATCGATTTGAGATGTAAATCTAATTGGTCTTTGTTAACTTAATTGTGGCCAGATTACGCCTCATCGTTTTGGAAGACAGAGTTACTAATTAGACTCCATTTATTTTGCGTTTTAGAACGAGGGTATTTCTCGGTGAATGAACATTTTTGAACATCTTAACGGGGTTAGTCTAAAGTCGACAATAATTTGATTACAATTAGTTTGAGGTCTTGATCTTGTAATCTAAGTTATTTATATTGTTGAAGGTATTCACCTATTTATTAGGTTAAAAATTGAATATTGTTTTATACTAATGAACAGACGTTACCGGTTGATGGACGCGGTATGTACGCGTCTAGCGTGGCTGATACAGAGCCTTGCTGTGTGATCACCGGCTATCCACTAGGATCCAGACTCGTCACTTTTACTAATGGTAAGTCTTTACATTATTCTCAAGAACCAAAGAAATTAACATAATAAGTTTGAACGATGCTGTCACTTTGACAAAACGAAACTGTCACTAAAGTTCAGAGGCTGACAAAGGTCACTAAATCATTTCCTTAGCTTCAACTTCTTAACGACTATTAACTTTATGACTGACTCCTAAAGTTAAACACAATCTGAAATATAAGCATGTAACACAAGTAATCTTTTGTTACGAAACCCTTATAATCGTTGTTTTGACAAATAGTAATTTTTCATACATCGGGTCCCTAGCAAGTTGATTAATTATGGGTGTCGCGAAGCCGTCCCGAAGCGGGTAGGGGCGCTGATGACATATAGCCTTATTAAGTGGCGGCTCGACGAAGCTCGCACGTTATGATACATTAATTAAACATGGCCTCTATGATGTTATACGTTATATTATGATAACAACGCGTCAGCCCCTAAGTACTTCCCGATATTGTGTGGGATCGTTTCTGCGTTTTAGACGATTGATACTTTACTTACTGACAGAAACTAACTTATCTATATATTTACACTAAATTTTTAATGTTTATATTACAAGTTTCGTGAGACATACTGTATTAATTATTGTGTTTTCGGTTTATCACGTAACTGTTTGACTAGGCTCGACTAGTTTCAAGTCATGCTAGGTGCTCATGAGCAATATTCCGGGATTTATTATATTTATGTTAGGTAATGTATTAAAAAGTCCTAAATTATGTCAAGGTCGTTGTGCAAACCGTGAATGGTGGTCTCGAGTGGTGAGTGCATCTCGCAGTGGTGGTTTACCAGCCGCCATACTGCAACACGTGGAGGCCTGGTGCGGGCCAGCAGACTATCACCATGTATAGACATTCTAATGACATACCACCATATCTTGACCCTTCTTTTTATAATGTACAAGTCAATAATTATGCTACAGTTGTATCTGTAGTTATTGTTTATAATTGTTTGCCTATCTCTATTTTGTTCTATGCAACGTTATAAAATATTGTGATGGTAAACGTAGTGAACAGATTAGGGGTTCCCATAAGATAGGTGTTTTAATGTTATCGTCTGGTTTTGCAAATAGTTGTATGTTCTTATTATTGTATGTTGTTACATTAAAAAGATTTGAAACATAATTTCTTTCGTCTTGCCTTCTTTTAATATATTTTCCTTCCTTGTATTGTATATCCGTACAATAAAGCCAAAGGATGGCTTCTTGTTTCGAGGAAATAATAAAACGTATTTTTTGTTGTTTATATCGCTATAATAAACTCATTTGTTATCACATTTATTTAATAATATACTTTGACACACATATGTATTTGTTACGTACTAGTATTTGTAGATATTCATTCCGTTCCTATGATTAAAGCTGAAAAGTGGGTGCAAGAAGAACTGGTTTCAGTTTATTATAGAATACAAACATTATTGAATCAGTGTTTGCGGTTTAGGCCAAAAAGTTATTTCTAATATTTGCAGAGGCTTGTGAAAGCGTTAGTCATTTTCAGCGTATATCAAGGCACGGAATGTGGAAATGATCGTGTTCTAAGAAGTAACGATATATAACTATAGCTAAAGTAAGGAAGGTACATAGTATGATATCCGATACCACATCACAAGTCGGGCTGTGGCGAGCACGGCGCGGGACGTGTGACCGCCGGTATCGGGGCTCATCGAGGCACATCATAGATTACGTTTTACATACATACGTCACTTACGTAAGAATATTACTTTACTCTAACATATCAAGATAATAAGCGTAAGTAGATCGATCCTAACACTTTGTCAGAATTGATAGTTACATTATTAAATATCTAGATTTTTCATTGATACATTTATAAATATTATGTATATTTTGTTCAACTTAATCGAATACAAAAATTATAGTGTAAAAATATACTTAATACCTGATATATACTTAGGCATTTGAATTATTCGAGTATTTTAATATTTAAGTAGTTAATCTATAAGTGAATATTTAGATCTCTCTAATAAATACTTCTCTCTCTTGGGAAATGTACAACCACGATAAATAAAATAAAACGATGCACCGTAAACTCTTTGGAGTACTTGGTGGCAGTGGCACTAACATGGCACGTGCCACCAAGTGACGTCACCGAGTGTCAGTGCCACTGCGCACACTCCGTGCTACGGTGACTGCAAGCAAGAGAAATATTGTCGGGTGAGCCACTAAGCTATGATAGCACTGGAAGAACACAGATTTCGACAAGATATATTTTACATTACATGTAGGTACTTTTCACAGGATATGTAGTTTGTTACTAACACCAATGATCAAAATATCATTTATCTCACGAATATTAAAATATCTACTAAATGAGTTTGTGTGTTCTAACTAAACGAGCCGGCGCGATATGGTTGTGTCGCTAGGCGGTGCCGCTCTAAGGGCCACTAGCTCGCCCTCGCCCTCGCACTACACTCATTACTTAATATAAACAGATCACATCAATATTACAATGCCGAAATGTCTGGTCTACATCTATGACATGATTTCTAAACACGTAATATTGTAACATCTTTGAAATGTACTAGTTATAAAGGTATTTGTCAGAAATGTGTACATACTTTTTGAATGAAGGTATTATAAAAGATTTACTATAAATTCTATCACGAAAATGTTGTGCGTAGAAAATTTTGAAAAACAATTTCACAATAACTATTTACAGTTCATAGAATAAGAATTTTGACACGAAGAAACGATTTTTTACCACTTTGGTATACAGTGATGATTTGTAAAACAAGTAGGTATACTTTGGAAAATTCACTAAAGCACAACCTTGGAAGAATAGTACCTAGACGCGCTTACTTACTAGAATAACTTTAGAAATGTATTAATCATATAAGGCAAAGTGTCAAAGTTGGGGTTTATTAGATGACGTATGTTATAAGATAGTGTTGGTTCGAATATTTAAATACTTAGAAATACAATGGTATATGTACTGAGACACTAACGATTAGTTAATATTCCATTAATAACCATGACAGTCAAGAAGAAAAATGTTCTTTAACGTGTACGATACTTTCTAAGAAAGTTTAGTGAAAGTGATAGTTACCAAGAGATATACATTATGCATCGCACATTGTTTCCTTATATCTATTAAGTAGGTATATATATATATAGTCTATTGTACTGCACATGAAATGTTCTACAGTGTGTTGTACTAAGCTAAATATTCTGAATATCCTGAATTATATGGTAATTACACATTTATAAGTTAAACTGAAAACTGCTACAGACATGCGTTTTACAGGGTTAAGCACAATCATCATGACATTTCATCATTTAAATAAAATACAATATCCCTTGAGCTAATAATAAATTACTATATCCAAGGCCTAATCGTTTATTAGGCACATCCACATTTGGACATAACATACACACTTAAAAACTTGAAGCACTTTTCTACAATAAGCTCCTTTTCATTAAACTACAGTCTAAGATGGTGTTGTTAAATCGTGCCCTGAGAGATTTCCTATTATGAAGGTAGGTCAGAATCAGGGGAAATCATTTTTGATCTGGAGGCACTATAATAATTTATGCCCTTATTATTTCGACTGTGAATTGAATGAGCCAAGAATAACGTCACGTTACATACATTGTGATCTGTACTACACCACAGTATTTACAATGAAGGAATAAATACAACAAACACATATATCAGTCCAATACTTGCAGCATTGTGGGCGAATATGTATGATAAACATGCACGGCGGAGATAAATACAATCATATTATTTCATGGAACGTATCGAGCCGTCGAGGTGCGCTAGTTGTCATCACGGCGCTCCGGCGACGGCTCCCTGGATCAGTCGGGCGACTCGTCGTTGGCGAAGGAGGTGGCAGGGAACAGTGGGTACCAGCCGTACGTGCGCTGTGGAAGCGTGAGCTTGTCGAGACAGATCTCGGCACCTCCCAGAGCAAGGTTGTGCTCGAACCCGCCGCAACGCTGCCACAGCATCACCACTAGAGTGCGCCCTAGCGCCTCGCTCGCCTAAACATTTACATACTTCATGTTTATATACAAGTTATTTCCAAAAAAACTACCACTTTAATGGAATAAAATGCTGTTGAATGTGCCATTTACAAAGTTTATCAAAAAACTTAAGAAAATAGGCATGCAAAAAGGACTTCATAAAATAACTGAATATTTTTAGAATATTAACACAGATCGTGTAACTGCAACTTATTCGACAATAATATACGTAATGTGGTAGTGATTTTTAGAATAATCCTGAACTTGATGCCCGACATTTCTAATAGACTCGCTTCCTATAATACTTTATATGGGTTTTATAATTTAACTGGCGAAAAGAGAATGTTTCATACTTTTATCTAATACATACACATAGTACTGCTTACTCCTTCGGAAAATAAAGGTAGTAGGTAATAAGTAAAATTAAAGAAAGTTATGTTGGTGTTTTCGGATCGTTTTAAATTATGTTGACAATTATTATATTAATTTATTAGTTTTGCTACTGATAAACTACAAAATAGATTAAAAGAGTGCGGCAAAAACCCGTACGTGTTCTTACTTGTACCTGATACTTGAGCGTCTGTTTGAAGTGCGGCTCGGTAGTTCGCCTGATGACGCGAGTTTTGCGCTTATGCAGCCACTTGTCCCCATCGCGCAGGTAACACTTGACGTACGAGTCCGGTACTTCACCGTTCACGCCATATACGCGACGAGCGTGAGATACCTGTTTTATTTAGGAAGCATTAATGATATTAATTTTCATTGCAAACAAAGTACTTAACTTGTTAATGTAGCGTCGTTTAAAAATACTTTTAAGAAGTAATTAGTTATTATTGGCTAATGTCGAACCTCAAGTTCCAGTTGTCCTTTGATCATAATAATGCTAATATTGATCTCGGCATGCAATGGCGGTAGATGTGCGTTCCGCGGCGGTAGCTGGCCGGGTCCGAGCGGCACGGCGTCGTCCTCGTCCGCCAGCGCGTCGCAGGCCGCTGCCGCCGGCACGGCCGCCCACATGCTGCCCTTACGCCCCGTGGCCGTTCCTGCACCACTCACATAAAACGTACTATCACATCGAAAGTGGTCCGCCCGTACTTTCGCTTTAAAGCGATATTCCATTTCAGTTCATTTTATACGGTTTGCGGGCTTCAAAATGTATCTTTACTCTAATTGGTTAAACATTTAAAAGTAACAAAAACCAAAGTACAAAATGATAGTAAACCATTCAATCGAACACTTAAAATGATGAAAAATAAACATTTACATAAAATAAGCACGTCAAACAGCTTCGTGCCAAATGTATACAGTTTTCGTTCACATAGAATCGAATCTTTCCTTTCCTAAACACATAAATGAAAGAGTAAGCGTAATATCGTGTGCAGCCAAGAGTGGAGTCGAATTCTAATAGTTGTCTGAAGCGTTCCTCAATTTATTATGGTAAGCATTCCGTGTCATGAACAGCCATTTATTTGAGTTTTAGGAAAATTTGCGATTTGTGGAGGAGTACCGAAACATAACTCATGCCACCGCTGGCTTCGGCGAGCCGCGAGTGTCTGCTACGTCATGCGCGACCGCGACCTACGCTTGATATACTTGTGTTCTACTTCCCTATTCGAAATGTAAATAAAACGTATTGAATAAAACGTCAACTGAACTACGGCCTAAGTATAATAGGATAATAAATTATATTTACAAGAAATCTAATAGATGCGCTTTGTAACAATGAGTGACATTCGTAGAGGTAATGAAACCAAACATCCTAGGCGACACAATGCCATCAAGATGAACGTAGACGGGCAGCCGAACAGACGGAACACAGAGACAGATGAAGTGAGCGTGATCGCCCGCGGCCGGGCATGCGTCAGGACAGTACAGTACAGACACAGTGAAGTGATGAGAAGCTTCGGGCGCAGCCACATTCAACGGTGCGTGCGCGCGGCCGCCGCGCAAGCGATGTATGACCCATGCTACTACGTGCCCCGCCGTCCACTTTGGCACTCAGCGCGGCACACCAGGCCCGCGAACCCCGCCCCGCTTGGCTGGTCAGATGCAGTCGGAGCGTGATGAACGGGCCTTATGTACTATGCTGTAGCGGCAAGGTGGACAGGCGGGACCTGGCGGCCGTCGGACGTCACAAGGGATCGCGTACACCAACACCGCGCACGAACAAACCCTGCTGGGGAGTACGCGCGGGCGCGGGCACGAACGAGCAGTCGCTTACCGAGGTGCTAACGGTCCGTCGCTGCTGACCAAACAAGCACAACACAGTACAAATCAGTACTACCCTCAATGTTCGCATTGTCTAATGATTTCTGTGATATCTGGGGGGATCCAACTGGACAACTTTACAGATTTCGGGTTCACCTTATTATCGCACATGATTTTTTTAAGGCAACAAGCCGAAAGGGACGTGTTATAGTATAATTGTGTAAAAAAAACATATAAGAAATAACTTAATTAATCGTGATTGGGTCGAATCTACAAAGGAAGAATATATTGTTGCTAATCAATTACAGAGTGATGTAATATTTATTTAAGTTTGTATCCGAAATGAAATCATTAATCTGAAACTCAAGATAAAGAATTTGGAATAATTTTAATAAAACATCTTATTTATACGAATGCAATTCAATATTTATTTCGACATCCGAGTAGCTAAAATACTTTTTTCATTATTGAAATATATATTGAGATACTTGAATATGTTGTCAGGGAGTATAATAGACGTGAGAGACTTACGCCTGGCCGTGGAGCCGGAGAGCGAGAGCGTGCGGCCGAGCTCTCCCTTGACAGCGCGCAAGGAGCGCAGTATGTCGTCAGGATCGCGTCGCACGCACGACGAACGTCGTCGCTCGTTGCGTCGCGCACTCATCGCCGGCGATACATCGCCACCACCTTCTACACAACCGTCACTAATATACTACCTACAGATATTGCTTACCTGGCTTTAGTGCAGTACGCCGCCACTCTAGTGCGCTGTTGCATTCGTATTACGCCAAAATAATGTGTAAATAATACATCGAAAGCGTTTAAAAAAGTAAATAAGTAATTATAAATATCAACATGAATTTCCAATTTATTTGTTTTCGTCACAATAGCAGAAAATGTTAGGTCAGCGTCATAAGTTCCTGGATTTTGTAAAAGATATCATTACCCTTTTCTTGTTGTTGGAATGAGGAGCGGCGAGAGCCTGGTAAAGATCGTGAAAAATCTTTGCCAAGCTGGTAAACCTCCACTTCAAGAGTTTCTGACTGCGAGGAGCCCCGCCTGGACCCTCCAACCCACGCATGATCTGGGTGCAGTAAAGATGCACATTCGCCGATGGAATCGACGTCGTCTGAAAGATATAATAACCATGTATATTTTATGACCCTGTGGCAAAACAACTACGGATCCTAAGTCAAGGTATACGTTAAGCGCGGATCCAAATCATAATTAAAGTTGTTTTATCAATGTTTTACATGCATATTTTTACATCGAAACATCAAAGTTTTCAATGGTTGTCACTCACTAATCACATTTAAATATTTCAATTGAGATGTGTATACTTATCTTGATAACGTTATAAAGTATGTATAGACAGGCCATCGAATCGTGGCCTCTTGACTTCATCCTAACAAACATTAAACAATATCCGAAAAAAGCATGGTTAGTGAAGCAGATTGAATTTTGAAATGAATGACACATTGTTAAGTTGAATACATAGAAACATTACACAATGTCTATAAAGGGAGACATGAAAAGCTGGGACCACAGATCTAATGCTACATTCGGTGAGAAGAGTTTTAAAAGAGCGCGAACGTAACGGGATTCGTTTTAGTGAGCATAACTGTCGATATAGTTCGACACCAGCTTGTGGGTCACTTTAATAAGGAAATATTCAAATGTGGTTCTAGAATTGTATAGATACTACCACTGCCATAGATTTTGATCTTTTGGGTCAAGTTCGCGTTCTTTTGTACATCCAAGGCTTGATCACTGATAGTTGTAGGTGTAAGAAAGAATAGTGTTGAAGTTGATAAGTGAGCAGCGACCACAGTGAGACATGGAAGGGTTGGATCCGCGTTCGGTACCTGACACTGAACGCTGGGAGGCGAAGTCTCCGCGGCGTAATGCGCGCGCACCAGTGAGCGAACCGCGAGGTGATGCGTTAGCTGAGCGGGGTCCACGCTCTTCCAGGGTCCACCATACTGCACGTTCCTCTGCGAATGCTTTTTCGATTTCCATCTGCAAAATTTGTATGATTTATCAAAAAAATTCACCATGGTATATACATATATATTTTTTTTAGGGGTAAAATCGTGGCGTGGCGTGGTGAGGCGGGAGGGAGTGTCAGACTCTTAGTGACTAAAAACCACCCCGTTCCTTCTCCTGCACGTCGAGCCGGAGCCCCGGTTACCCGTTAGGTTCTCCGCGACACCATGGTATATATATATAGGACTCAATATTCATAATATTGGACACGTTTTCCAGATGGTTAAATTTCCAAAAACAATAAAATATAAAAACTTACTGTGCATTCTCCGATCAAAACAGGGTCAATGCCTGGACAGGCATCCCATAAAGTAAGCTCTAAAGCTCGGCCAGCAAGCAAGTCAGCTGTAAGACCTCCAAAGCTTAGCGTAGCATTCCACACCGGGCTACACGAAGCCGAGGCTGGGTCGGTTTCCACAGGAGGGCAGCTCTCTCTAGGAAAAAAATATGATTGAAGTAAGTACCTACACTGTATGATTACCGAAGAAAGAAGTACAGTCAGTCACACTTACAGTGAAGGTAGGAGGCGTATCCTAGCAAAAGCTTCTGGTTCATCTCCATATCCCAAAGTGTGGTCTCGAGGTGGTAAGTCGTCAGCCGCGATGAGTACCACCACGAGCTTGCGGAGGTCGCATTCGAACCACACCTGCAGTTGAGCACGAGCTGGCGGGCGCTCGCGTGCGCGCTCTGCTCGGTCTTGCTCCTACACGTAAAGCAAAACCCATGACATACCACACCATCCACTTTAAGTTGTACAACAATGCGACGAATAGGGTTATTGGTTTCGAATATTTTTTCATATATGTTACTACTAAATTATAACCATCTTTAATTTCAAACGACAGAATATGCACGTTCTCAGTGTGCCGAGAGGACACTCGTTTTGTTGAAACAGAGTATCTTTCGTTTTTGCAATGGTTAATTATATTAATTTTGTGTTATATAAATCATAAGGTTGATGTATAGATAAATACATATTCTATAGTAGTATTATTAGTATTATATAGAATTTGTTTATACCTCTAGAATTATCTTTATTTCGTATCATTGACTTTTTTATAACTTGTTCGTGTGCTCACGACACAGCCAGAACAATCAGTTTCATGTATAACAGGAACATAACACAAATATGAAAACATGCACGCCAATAACCCTAATATGTGTTTCGAATATATTTTTACAACAAAGTCACATGGTATATACAACTTGTTCACGCATGTCTACTAAACAAACAAGGGTGACGTCGGCATAAATGAAAACATAACAAAATATAATAATTTCCCAAGATCTGTTATGCAAAGTCTAAATCAGTTATAAAACTTTTGGGGAATGCAATGTACTTTATCAGTAACATGCAGCAACCATCAGCTATTTATCAATCCTTCATCAGCCAGAGAGAAATTTTTTATACTGTTATCCATTCTGTGCGATTTATAGCAATGCATTCATATTAGGTACCATTAATTATAAACTTTTAGGTATTGTCCATTTCAAATATATTTTATAGTAACATGCGTCGGGCTGAGGCATTTCTATGAAACACAAAGTAATGAATAAAATCGGATGCTCTCATCCGCCATGCAGGAAGCTGTATCATGCTGATACCGGTCTCACAAGCTGCATGTGGCTACATCTGTAGCCGAAATAAAACGTTCACCCGTACATTCTCTAAGGATACTCGTTTGTTATGTGGCCTACGCCTACTATATATCTATAGTGTTTATTGCACAAGCTTCTTATAGGATTTGGGGAAATCTAGAATAAAATCTACTTTGACCAATTGAAGATGTTAGCGAAGGGATATCATTTGTTCTACTGCTTTAGGTCTATAAAATTGAATACAAAAATGTCAAATTACTTAATTTTTAAAAGGTTAATTATTTTCTCTTAGTTCTAAAGCACTGAGAAAGCCTTATTTTTGTCTACACTATTCTATGGCCTCTGTAAATGCTTTGTACTTTAATAAAATTTGTTACTAGCCACGTAATTAAATCTGACTTACTTTAGTGAGTTATACAATACTGTAGTGAACATCGGTATCTTGGAGTTGCGAAATGTGTCTATTGCAGAGCATGATGGTATGAATTGCATCGGCGCATTCATTCACAATGACATTAAGTAACAGTTTGTTAATGAAATAACATATTAAAATTTAAAGCGTTAACGATACACACGTGTATTTTCACCATTACATTGACAGAACGAAGTACTGTATTGTACATTTTATGTAGCTTGTACATAAACACATTATTTATATTAATACATAGTATATCACACACAAAGGCTTCATGTTTATAACGGTGCTTGATACTAGATGCACTTATCGACATTGTGCAACTTCATGCATATTTGAATCTGTAATACTGGGTCGTAACAATCAACTACTTAGTAAAGAGCGGTTATGTACATCGTGTCGCTGTAGGGTGTTGTCGTCACATGACAGAAGCGTCGGTGCGCGCCTGTCGTTCAAGGGGTTCCAGTGCGGTGTACCGTGCTGCCACCACTCCAAGCTCCTAACGAGACTCTATTCGCTGCGAACGCCTTCGATGCAAGTGCGGCATCACACTAAACTAAGTCAACAGCAAGACTTGGTAACAGACACTCGATGCGCTAGATATGAGACGGTACAAACGGGAGTGGTGCCGCGCCGGTGCTGGGCGTCGTCGCTTCGCTGCCGCCGGCCTCGCTACCTCGTCGTCCGTGCTGTCCTCTACCTTACTGTTTCACTGCTGTTTCTTAACTCTTCACTTAAGTCAGTGTATAAAGTGAAATGTTTGTGCCTTTGCCATTGTGATTATAAGTACAAATGTAAAATTTGTTGTTATTGGCCAAGCTGAAAGCTGCGGCGAATCTAGGTCCACTACGTAATATTCGTACTGTCGGTAGACAATGAGCGCTACTCATCCACGGTATCCTATAGATGATAATAATTGATCGATGCCGGGACGAGTCCCCTAATCTACCATCGAACACTAAAACTGTAGTTAACCTCCGACTACACTTACTTATTCGTACGTTTTTCATCAATATTTGTGTATTTGCCGATCTTTCCCTAATTCCGCCTGGTGCCGATGGCGACATTATGAAATTGGTCGGGTGATAGAAAAAATAAAAATCTGAAAATAAGTAGGTAGCATTTTTTCACACACTTCACTTAGGATAGTTATTATATAAACGGTAACGTATAACGAATATAATATGTAGATAACAAATAAAGTTTAAAATATAATATATGTAAGTGTATAAATATATTAATTAAACAAACAGAGCATCCCTTTCTCTAAATAGTAAAGGTTAACAAAGTTAAAGTACATCTACGATCGTATATAGAAACACTAATCTCTTACAACTAGACTAACGTGGAAGATGTCTGACTGATTAGTGCTACAGTATCACAGCAGATCAATGGAGACTAGCCCCTGCACTCCGTCCCTATACCCAGCCAAAATCAAAAGGCAAAGTAACGTTTAATAACTGACATAAAAGTATGTGCCTTTGGATTATGTTTGGACACAGAACAGGACCGACGGCAGAGCTGCAGTGATCGCGCCTCGCGTGGTCTCAGTGACATGAAACGAGCGATGGAACTAAGGAGCCACCATCAACTCTGTCACACGTTAAATATGTAGTTGAAAAAATTTTAGTAAATTACATCACATTATTAATGTGTACAATAGTTACTTTTAACAAATTGTTCCATTTTGAGTCGTTCTAGGGCTCGTCTCTTAAAGCTCATCTTCAAAACTAACGAATAATGAATATCAAGTATGATTCTAGTTAGTGGATCATCTTTACTTATCTATTCTAAATCACCTTCCTTCTCGTCGTGTTAGGTACTGAATTTCTTATAAAATCTTTTGAAAATTGTCTACAGTCTCACTTAGATTTAAAAGAAGATGATCTAAAAACAACACGATGCTGAAGACCACACGTAGAGTAATGAATGATCCGAGAAGCGCAGAGGAGTAGGCACCGAGTGACAGTCTCTACTAAAGTTTATGAAGGAGCGAGCGATTGGGCTCGATGTCTCATGGGTTCACAACACATATTGTTACAATTAAAGCCTATGTATGGGTATTATACCGGGGTTTTCGGCAATTTCCGTCGGGTCGGCGAAGATGGTGATTTGTCGGTATCCGGTTCTGTGAATCAAAACACAGACACATGTACTATCACCTAGGTGTGATAAACTGAAATAAATTCAAAATAACAAGAGTTAGAAAAAAGACAAAATAAAGAGAAAACATAATGGTAAAATATACCGTTATACTGCTCAAGAAGAAGGCTCGAGAAATGTTGGTGCGGAACAAGACAGGTAGATAACAAAATGCTGTTAACATTTCAATCAGGTGCAGGTACAGATTATATCGAAAGGAAAGAATAACTGAAAATAAAGTTAAGAAATAGGTTTCAGCAAAAATATGATTGTGTTATACTTTGATTTGTGTAGGTATTGACTGCCGTGCGTTAAAATGCAACAATGTTTCTATGTTACTATAACGTTCATGGTTTGGAAAATATTACATTTGGAATGAAGCGGTTCATATTATTGTATGATTTTTAATAATGTGCGTTGAAGAAAAATTGGAGCCCCTGGCGAATAAAAGGTCATAGTTTAAGTTTTGTGCTCTATTATATGTATAGCTGTTGTGTATAATTATCTGAGAAATAAATGCATAAAATGGAAGCAAACGTGTTGTGAACGTTAGCTACTGGCACAACTTAAAAAGGGGCCTTTTAATCGTGTACGGCGTCTTCTTGAAGAAATGGTCTGATAATTAATGTGAAATGGATTTATACTATGTATTATGTGGGATAAGTACCGTATAACGCGTGGTGATGCATAGAGGGCTGGCTAGCCTGCGAGGGTTGGTCCTCCATCTGCGGAGCTGGCTCCACCAGTAGCTCAACACTGTCACCGCCGCGCTCTAGTACCGCGCATACTTCTTCAAAGCTGCGCTCTGTCAGCGGAACCCCGCCCCACTCCAACACCTCCACACAAGAATTTACCATGCAAACTGAATAGTGGCAAACCTACGTACTTATTTGTAATCTAGTTCACTCCTTTTTGTTCTTGGACTCGCACTAGGATTTGTGAGGTCTATTATTTTTAATTAAAACACTACGGACGTGAGAGAATAAAAGGCAGGAAACGGCCTAAAATGGAGATAACCCACACTAAATTTTGTGAAAAGACAATGAATAATTGAATGGGCGATAACTTTTTCTTTTTTTCGGGGTAATGCCTGTGGTTTATTTAGTTAATAGAGACAGACTAGTCTCGTATTAATAAAACAAATGCTTCAAAAATTAATTTCAGACTTCATTTATACATCGATGGAACCAGCACCTACATTTATGCTATGGAGATATATGTGGAAAAACAAAAGGTGTCATTATGCAGAGTCAAGTGAGACATTCATGTTCTTCCGTATTTATTGTTTTGTATTTATTGTAAATACTCTATGTATGTAGTACATTATGCCATATGTAGGTATAATTCTTAATTAAAACTGAAAAAGTCTTGGCTGGACGAGATTATGAGTTTCATCATAAATGAGTGCGTTGTTATTGCAAACATAAATGTTATTATGTTACCTTGTCTCCCTGTTGTAGGCCAGCGAGGTCGGCGGGTCCGCCCGGCACGGTCCACACAATGACAGCCTCGCGCCGCCCGCTCGCGTCCGGCTTGCCACCCACAACGCGCATACCGAAACCGCGAGCTGTAATTAATCATTTCCACAGCTAACCTACATACCTTTGTAAAGCTTATATTTTGGTGATTACGCTTTACCACATTTTTTGTAAGTATGACACATATGACAGAGCGCTGTGTATTGTGAACATCACAACCACATTTTACAATCGTTCTTTACGATACAAGCAGTAAGCCATTATGTTACGTTGTTTAAGATAATTGTACTGTTTCAAATTTTGGAGCTTTTATGAAATACGCTAACTTACAGCGGTGTCCTTTGTCGTTGGGGTCACGACGCAGTGATACGCGGCGTGGTGTGCGGTCGTCTACGTCATGAATGACGATCTTAATAGCCTCTGCATCAACTGACATCTGCCGAGCGGCCGCTGCAAGCGCAGCGCTGGTGGCTGCCGAGACTGTGACGGTCGGTTCTGACGATGTATCTGAGCTTCGAGAGGCTAAAGCTGCTAACGCCAGAGTTCCCGTTTTTTGTTGCAAAGCTGCTATGTCCGGCCTACGCAAAATTATTATTTTTGGTTGATATTATTTTGAACATAGTTATAAATATCAACAGTTTACTCACAATTGGCTTCCTCGACGCCTGATCGGTCGGTCTTCATCGACACTTAGGCCGGCAGCTATTTGAGGAGTGGAGCTTGGTTCATCTGTACGATATGAACCACGGCGCGATGTTGCACCAGCGACAACGTCTACAGCTGATGATCTAAAAACCGGAGCAAAACAATAGAATCGAAGTTCATAGACTTGTTTTGGTTTTATAACTGATGTATTATTATAGATTTATGTTGGTGTTGTATTGGATACAATATCAATTGTTTCGTCGATACTGTAATATTTCGCCAGTGATTATACTTGTAAATCGTCATAATTTGTTTTGTTCTTAGATTGCGTCTTCTACGCAGTACCTTGATTGGTTGTAAGTAAGGATTACTACAATACCTCCTTGAGATGCTAGGTGGCGCTAGTGGAGCGGCCTGGTGTGCGGGAGAGTGTGGCTGGTCCTCGTCGCAGGAACGTTGTCGCGGGGCGCGCACAGAGCGGCGCCGTGCTGGTGTCACTGTGCTCGGCCGACGTGACTCCACCGTCGGCGTAGTACTGCCGCCGCCCTTTAACTGCCGCCGCGGGCAGCGTGGTTACGAACTCACACTCCACAAAATATGCCAGTTACACTTAATGGCACGACACAGGACCATAATATATTTTTTTAAGTTTAACTAACGCTATCATTTTCTTTTTGGATAAATAGATGTAAATAAATGAAGAAGAAGACATACGAACACTATAGCGACATGTTATGGAGATCGATCGATCGATGTACATTAAATAATGTTTAATATTACCCATATTTGTATTAACCACGAGAATCCCACATTCCCACCGAAAATGATCAAGTTATAGCAAAACCATCGATGAACATTACCTTCTCAAGTTCTTTAAGCGAGGCTGGTGATACATCTGAATGTCGCCTGAGTTCAGGTGAGCGTGGGGGTGCTAGGCCAGCACTGCTGCCGCCGCTGCCGAGCCTGGCTTCCGAGTGCCGACGTTGTAGGGCTTCCAGCACAGGGACATCCAGTAATGAGTCTGTGCTGTCTTGTGCGGCAGGGGGTAGGCGCGGTGCGGCCTTCCGGCGACACACCGAGCAGCGCCATGAATTCTAAATAATTTCGCAACGATAACTTTATATGCCTTTGAAAATAATTATGCACAATTTAAACTGAATGTGGTTTGATAATCGAATCTGATAAATTAAAGTTTTGGAATAAATATTATAATCGCATCTTACTGCATCTTCATCACTGGCTGGCTTTGAGTAGGAGGAGCAGTCCTCACAGACGCGGTGCTGGCAGCCGTTGCACGTGTGGTACACCTCTCCGGGCTTTAGAGCCTTCAAGCACACACGGCACGCACCCGCTCTTGATGGCGCTTTACCAGCCTCACTGTAAATACACAGGGATTAAGCCATCTAAAATTCCTAAAAACATAACATTTATTATAAATGGAATCTAAATAAAACCTGAACTAATGAAAAGCAATGAAATGATAAAGAAGAACGAAATTAAATCTTAAACTTTTTACATGAAAAACTTGAATGAGTTTTATAAGTTATGATACGAATCGTAACAAAGATGTGAAGTTTGGTCAAAGTTGCAAAGAAATTAATATTTGAAATTGTTGTAATACCGTTCAGTCTTAGATATTTGTGCAGCGGTGGGCGGCGGTTGAGCAGGTGGCGGCGCTGGTGTAGGCTCCGGGGTCGGCTCCGGCACAACTTGTCGCGGACCCAACTTTGTTACTGAAACAACACAAATTACCATCCATTCCTACTCATCACCGCCAATGTAAGTTCAATACTAAAATCGAAAATACTACTTCCAAATTAGATTAACATTGACTGTTCTAAAACGAACGGAAAGTCATTCAAACTAAAATTACATTCAGATCATTGTTATGAAATATTGAATTGGTATGAAACGATGGGAATTCAAATAAGTCGGCAGCTTGTGTCTACCTTCCGAGCAGGAATCCACTAACAATGCGTACCTCCCTGGCCTCCCCTGGCCTGTGAGATGCAAACCTCGCGATATTTCGCTCTGAATATTAAGACCATGAATTCCATCGCAAACTTTTGTCAGTAGGTACTTTTAGTGCCAACTCGTTACGTCTTGCACTCACAACACAAACAGGCAATTAACGAAATATTGCCAAATTAATGCGATTGCGTGTTCGTTCATGGAAAGCGTAGCTAGGCAAGTACTATTTAAAAAAATAAAAGAAAGTACACTTCTGTTTTTATATAAAATAAACATAGTACAGCAAAAATTATATAATAAAATACCAATAGAAATCGCATTATACTGTTGACCTATTCTATTCTATCTTCTATACATATAATAAAATCGTAGGAAAGAGCAAACTGTACATGTTTTTAAAAGAATGCCTGGAGCGTGTTCTACAAACGGCACCAAAGTTAAAAATAAATTTTATAGAATTTTTATCTGTTTGTCAATTGTAATTTTTTATATGAATATTACTAATAGATCGGGTCAACATATAGGCTACATATCATCACGCTATCACCTACGGGGGAGGAGCTGTGAATCACTATTTCATACGAACGAGCGGGCCGCAGTTAGTAGGCAATAAAACGATTAATATACGGTTAAAATTCAAAACGTTCTTCAATACATAGTATAAAACAAAGTCGCTTTCGCTGTATGTCCGTATGTATGCTTAGATCTTTAAAACTACGCAACGGATTTTGATGCGGTTTTTTTTAATAGATAGAGTTATTCTTAAGGAAGGTTTATATTATGCATATTGCACCCGTGCGAAGCCGGGGCGGGTCGCTAGTATAGTTATAAAATAATTTATAAGTTCTTTTCCTTTTTGGTGGAAGTTAAATTATAGGGAAATCGTATTTATCTGGGAGGTTTATGTTAACTACTGTTGTGGGGTGTGAGGTAAACATAAATAACAGTAATAACGGCCTTAGGGAACTAGCACATAACACCGCTCCAATCTTCACCATACACGGGTAGGCACAAAAGTTATTACCCGCTACTTACAAACTACTATAAAGTTACCTGTTTTCCACTAAATAGTTATTTTCCGAGGACTGACCCGCTTTTCGATAACAATTTCTGTCATCATCGTGCTAGTCAAAATCACAAACGATACTTTACATACCTCGAAAATCATAATCGACACTACGTACTGTATATATATGTATATAAAAGATTGGATTAAATCCGATGATATTTAACTACATAGAAAAACTAAGTCAATTATATACAAAAAAATATTCTTATAGAAAATCTAGCTGTTTATTATAATCGAGGTACTTTCTTTACGTCGTTCCCTGTAGGCTTCGATTTTTGTCAAGAAACAGAATTTTGTCGACGTGATGAATGGATATGGTTGTCGGGAGAGATAACGGCCGGATAGGTACGTTTTCGAGCCCAAAAGAGATCGCGACCGGAATGTTGATTTTCCAGCACCCTCCCGCTTGGAATTCTCATGGGTTAACTTTGTATACATCAATCTTAAAACCAGTTTAACGGTACACAGACCCACATATAATTCTGAATGAATCCATTGAAAACATTTGTTTTATTGTTTGTAAGCCCCAGATGTTACTAATTTAAATATTTATAGGAGGATCGTAAAGTATTCTTTTACTGTTCGGTAGAAAAATGGAATGGCAACAAATCAAAATAATAAACGAAGTAGGTAATATTTGTATGTAAAAATTGAAATGGAAATCAAACTAGCGAATTATGAAAATATTATCTAGAATTTTGAACTAAAATAAATGCGAAGTACTGAAATAGCATCACCTATCATTTTCATCTTCCTACGCAAATTATAGAGGTAATTTAATTCAGCGAGTGAGTCGTGTAGGCGTTAGTCAGAATCGCAGGTATGCACTATATTTAGCTCATGCAACGGTTGGCTTTCAAGAATTCCTAGAAATACCTGCACTCTCGCTATCTCTGTATAACTCAATATTTAGAATTTCTGCTGAAATTAATGGGAAGTGGAACTGTGGGATAACTAGCTCTGCTTGCCTTTTACATTAGATATTTCAATGTAAGTAAAATATACCTACTAACGTAAGGCCTATCAAACATACTCATCTAATTAAAATCATATCCATATCAAAATATTATTTAGACGTTGAATTAGCTTCAAACAAAAGACTAGTTGGCATATAAAAATAATGTGTCGGCCTATTTAATTTCTAAATATTTCGTTGTAGAAATAGAGAATGAATTTTTAAAGTGAAATCAAAATAAAGATTATAAGGAAAATGTTTCATCAGTCCGACTTAATGCTTTTCTAAGTTAAGGAATTTGTTCTATTTTCGTTCAACTTAAGCGCTGTAAAAGGGTAATCGATTTCGGTATTCTTAGGCTGATCGTTTTGGAAGTACTTATTAGATATTTTTATACCCGACTTTACTAAAATGTTATTTTGTACGTATTATCGAAATTCTCTTATACAATTCTGAAGTGGGATTAAGTTAAAAGGAAAAACTAATCAGTTTTCTTCATACAAGTTGAGCGGAAACCAGTCTTTTACGATATTGAAGTTACAGAGGATGTTTTATGTTTGTAAAGTAGCTCCGTATATGACATCATAATAAAGTTGGACATGTAATTTAGTTAAATTAATCATTATTTCCGTTAATCCTTAACAAGCATTTGTATAAAACAATTTCTACTAGGTATATATTATATATTACTAAAAATAAGAACCACCTTACCGTTGACTATACGAGAATAAAATTGTCGTACTAACATTTCGTTAAGTACGTACGTATAAGTACAAATATTGAAACAGTTTCTTAATATATCCAGTTCGTACTTCAAATATTACATAAGTTGGACCTCTGTTATGTAACTTCGCGTCAAGTCTAACAACTTATTTACCTTTGACATTATTAGTGTTGTTATGAGCTAGTACAATGTTAGTACGCCATACAAAGTGGAACTTTCTAAACGCAAATGTTTACTTAATTAAATCCAATTAGTGGATGGACTTTGGGCTCTTGGTCCTTAAATTAGAGTAAAACTACCTTTCTTTGTACTAGTCTTTACCAGTTGTGGTTGTGTTTACCTTTGTCCTGAGCAGTGAGAAGAGAGGACGACAGGGTCTGTCGCAGTTTGCCGAAGGTTCCCGGCGACTCTATGTGGCCGGGCACCGTGTTTGATGAGTCGTCCGTTGCCACCATCTACAATAACATATTCAAGTTTTAGCGAAATAAGTGCTGCATGTGATTTCTGGATACGCCTAAAACATTAAAGTAAATCTAAGTTAGTTACAATTTTATTTTTTGTTTAGAGCAATCGGAATAAAAACGTCGTGAATTAGTAAACTCGATAAAAACACTTGGCGTTGAAAAAGAACTCATGTCGTGGAAAGCGACGCCACGCGGCGATAAAACTCTTCATACAAAAATAACGACTCAGTAATACCGTCGTAAATTTTATGGAGAGCAACAGATGGAGAATGAAATACATCAGAGAGGGGAAAATCAATATTGTAGTCGTCCGAACTAGACTGCGGAGCGTTTTTATTGCTTCGCTCACAACTTATCTTTAAAGTTTTTCTTCAATGACTAAGTACAAGTTACGACTAAAATAGATTCGAATTAGTGAAGTCACTATTTATATCATACAACGGGAGGCTACATAATTTTACTTAACACAGCACCCGAGGTACCTTAATAGGCTTCTGACTAATTGGAATTGATCGTAAAATATAAAAGTATATAAATAAAGATGTGCTTAACGCTTTAGAAATTGTGTTTCAATGGGGAGTGGCTTTACCCTGCGGTAGGTGGAGGTGGAAGGAACTGTGTTACCGTCAACAAAGCTACCTCCTGGCGGACGTAGTAAAATGGGCGCACGAACACGAAGCACAGGAACTCAGGAAGGAAGGAGACTGTACCGCTATAGGTAAGTAGTTAGGAGACGGGTTTGAACCACGCGCTTCAAAGTATTTATGTATGTACTTCTCAGCTAATGTGTACAGTTCACAAAAGTTTCCTCATATTCAAACCAATTTCTAATGTACAACAACTTCATTTGTAGCGTTATGAAATGAATCCTAAAATCAACCTTTATTTCATTACGAGGAAAAGTAATTAGGTTTAGTGCATTTGATAGGGTAATTATTCTTGAGTTTGAGCATTAGTTGGTTGAACACGCAAATTATTTTCGATCGATTTGAGATAACGTGATAGATTCTGAGATATTTTTGACTGATGAATCATGAGACTAATTTATAAATAGTTCATTAACACATTAACCGATTAGTTACGCCTATAGTCTATAGTTTATCCATGTCGAAGCTTTGCTTTATGTAACATGTAGTTCCGAATCACTCTTTCGTGAATAAAATCGAATATTCTACATATGCTTTGAACCCGCACTTGTAAAATTTCAACCAGTGAAAGATTTACGGGAAAGTCATTCGGTGAATTTTCTGCAGAACTTTAATGGAGTTTCTGTATACATGTACCTGCGTACGTATGCACTGCGTCAATAGAGTTCGAATGACTTGATCAAACTGCCGTTTCCTCGTCGAAAAATGCAATTAAAACTGTGGCACAATTGAACTGTTCGATCAATAGTAGACTCCATTCTATAACTAAGTACTACATAACTGTTTTATAATAACTATCGTGAGACATACTAAATTACCTAAAAACTGCGGGTTTCTCAGTATATTCACGTGAGTAACCCGCAGTTTTTAGTTAATTTACAACATAACTAATTTTTTTTAAGGGTTAGAGTCATCGAATGACTTCTCCCGCCTGGGTGAGGCGGGAGGAAATGTCAGACTCTGACTAAAAATCACCCTGTTTCTTCTCCTGCACTTCGAGCCGGAGCCCCGGTAACCCGTTAGGTTCTCCGCGACTCCGAACTACTACCATTTATTGTAGTTAGATATGAGTTATAAGTATGTAGAGATTATTACTTGCAATAAAAAATGTTGATCTGTCTGTTCTATTCATTTAATTATTTCTTATATTTTTTCTAAAAAATATTCTCTGATAGAATCGAGTCTACCAGATGAAAAATTATATTTAATGTATAAGTGAAAGCGTAACATACATATCTAGATGACTACAATAGATATATACAGTAGTTATACAATATTCATGAACATAAGAGAAGTTGTGAAGCATCTTGAACAACGCATTCTCCTGGGAGTGAGCGCTGCTAGCCACGGCTGACCTCCCGGCTTCTCGCCTTCTGTTCTCGAGTTATTGGATTCGCCAGTCGAGCCACGCTCGAGACCGAACGCTTTCCACTTAGATGCATTATAAATGAAAGCCGTTGCTAACAATTACAAAGGCTATTGTCAAGTTTCCGATGAGAACCATTCAACTGCTGATTGTCAATTAAATCTTTTCTAAAATGTCATGAGATAGTTAACTTTGTCTGCGATTTATTTTTACTGAACGTTCATTTCGATAAAGGAATAGCTACACGAATACGTTACGCGTAATATTCGGTAGAAATCAATATATTTTTTTATTGAAAAATGTATTCGATCAAATCACATGGGATCAAATATTATCGTCGGTAAACGGTGGTTCCTGGGGTAAACGATATTTTGTACTCGTTTACTTGGTTATGCTTGCTCCTACGCGGAATATCAGATGGAAAATTACGACCGTAGATACTTTTAGTACTTTTGAAATATCAAAGGTGAAAACCAAATAGATTCGTACCTATTTTATTAGAAAAATCATAGTAAATAAGAAAAAGAATAACAAAAGTATAAATACACAATAACTTTATAAATATTTATACAATTTCTGTTACTATTCTGTATTTCTAAGGTTGAAACGAATGAGTTGGGATTCACATATCCCAGAGGGCTCAGCGAACCGTTTCTCGCGTAGAATGAATAGACCCGACGATAATATGGTATTTATTACACTGTTTTATAAATTACCATGTTTTTTATACTAAGAAGATTCGATTCTCGTAAAAAGGCAAGTTTTCTTTACTTGGTTCATCTTTGTAGAGGTTATAAGCACCTACATAGACGTAGTTTTTAAATATGGGAAAATAAAGTGAATAGGCAAATTGCACGCTAGTAGTTTACTGTAGCATATTACTTTAACTAGTATCTACCTGTAACTTTGTACCTCTGTTGTCATAGGTAGTAATTAGTTTATGTTGTCATTAGTTGAAGCAGTACAACAAATAAGATACGCAGCAGCGCAACTAGTATCACGTTGAGCACACGGTCGTCCGCTTCGATTAGCGTTACCGGCAGAGATTTTTGAGATAAAATGGGTCATGAACAGAGCGTTCATGACCTACTAGTGAGGTGCAAGGGGTGCGTGACGCGGGAGGGAGAGGACGCGGCCCTGGTTGACCCACTTGTTGCCTCAACCCGCTATTTACATTACAACTCTAATTGCTGTCGGCAAACGGCAGGTGTAAGCCTTTACTTTATCATCACCTTGGGAACAACCTTTTCTAATTCGTTGTTCGACTTGTGCAAATGTAACCCATTACTAGACTAAATGAATTTTATTTCATTTTCTTTAATGTAGAATGAGAATGATGTCTTTCAATAGGTGAAGAAGAGAGGCCGATTTTGTTTGGAACAGATAATAATTAAGGGTTGAATAGACGTAGAGTTGTTGGCCTTTAGTGTTTTTATTTGGTATCGTCAGATGAATACAATGGGGCCGGCCATAATGGCTGTGTCGAAGTCACATGTGCGCGGCGAGTGTCGGCTGGAGCGGGTGGCGCGTGGCGGTGGCGGGAGCAAAACAGAGCAACCGGAGCGGAGAGTGCGCAGCGCTACACACACGACCAGCACAAAGGAATGTAATTACGCGTCAGTGGCGCACAGCGCGATTGTTCTTATTTTAGGACCCAACTACATATTTGTCGCTTCGATGAAGAAATAGTTCACATACCTATACGAACACGTTTCACTACATTTTCAGTTGATTGGGACTTGTTAGACAAATATTATTGACAAAATATAATGACAAAAAATAAAAATTGAATAGTTATTGTTGAATAATAATAAACGAGATGAAAATTTAACAATACGTTTATTAGCCAGTAAAGATTACAGAGAACAGACAGAATGCACTAGCGCCACAAGTGACAACAATCGGAAACTTGGTTATGTTCGGAAACTATAACAAACTAACAATACTTATTGATTTAATGTTTAATATTTCAATAGTTATACTAGTGAAAAAATATGATTAAGTAAATTAGTTGCTATCTATTTATCTAGTACGTTGTGTGTTCTGAGTTTTCTATAACTACTGAAAGTTTGAAGTGTTTGTTCTGTTCTATACAGGGTTAGAATAAACACTTTAAAGTTCTTTTAACTTTTAGTGCGAACGGATTAAGGAGCAAAGATATTTATGTATAAGATTACAAAGTTTATAACAAAGAGTACTCTTTGGAATACTAAATCCTAAAGCAAATAATATAAGGTATGCCAAGAATTTTCATTATAAAACATAGAAAACTATAACTATGAAATATTGCCTCAGGGTTGGGCGGACGGTCGAGGGTGAAATTAGGTTCTTTCAGTGGTTGGTGGTCACTACAACGACGTAATAATATTTGTAAAAGCAAAGTCGCGGTCAAAAGGCCCCGCCGTTTCTTCGAAATATTCAGAGTCTTGATACTTAGCTGTTTGTGTTACAATATTTGTTCTGAAACTATCTAATCTATATTAAAAAGTAATAATGTAATAACTATGTAATAAATTAGCAAGGATTTGTGCATAAATCGGCCAATTCCAGATAAAATTTTACTTACTTTTTACCTGGCCCGGATCAACCAATCAACTTGACCAACAACCCAGTCTTATTCACAAGAATGTACCTACCTAAAAAAGCGTAGGTAGGTTAAACAGACTCTTTTTTATTTTGCTGAGTAGATAAGGTTTTTTTTGCGAAAAACAAACCCAAATGTTTACTAAACACACATACAAACAACAGTTAAACAATGTGCACAAAAGTAGTAAAGTAATTTAGCGGATTTCCCGCGCTGCCGTCGCGCGCCATGTTGCTCGCGAGACTTATGTGGATCCCGTTCAGAAATCACATTAAGGTAGTTTGAGCGCGGCCGGTCGGAACTACACGCGAATAAATCTAAATCACCGACGGGCTGAATCTCGCCTAAATCCACTTTAATGCTCTTCACACCCGGCCGCACACATTACGCTCAT